AGCTTTTCTGTTCCGTGGTTCCCAGGAAAAAACCTTTTAATTCTCCGCTGTTCCGTGTGTATGTGTGTATATGTGTGTGTGTGTGTATTGGGGGGGCTTCGGTGGGCGGAGTCGGAAAAGGGGGCTCTTACATTTGTCACGAATAATTCCCAGCACTGCAATAAAGCATATTACTTTCAAGGATCAGAGGGGGAAACATCGTAATCCCCTATGCAGCTTTTCAATTTCTACTTTCCCGGGGAGAGTTTAAGCCATCATTTCACCCAATTATCTTAGCGTCGCTACTTACGATTCCACCACTTTCACACGTTCACCGGCTTAACGGCCGGCCGGCGGCAAAGACCCAAACTGAATTTAGCCGTTTTATTTTCATCTGAGCAAGGCATAATTTGCAGCTTTTGTCTTTTCGCCTCTGCCAAATTATGTTCGCCCGAGATGCTTTTTTATAAATCCCTGGTTAAGAATCAAAAGATTAAATCGGATAAAACTCATTGCATGGATTCGCAGGACTGAACCACTGACTAAGCACCTTGGTTGTGATCGAATCGCTCCCCCAAAAGGCAGCATCTTTTTAGGTACCAGGTAGTCTTCGCCTTACAACAGTTTGCTGACCGTTTACTGACCGTTCAAAGCAGGGGTAAAATCCAAATTCTTTTACTACCGGTTCTGTGGGCGTGGCTTGGCGTGGTGGCTTGGTGTGGCTTGGTGGGCGTGGCAGGGGAAGGATACTGCAAAATCTCCATTCCCACCCTACTCCTGGGGGAAGGATATTGCAAAATCTCCATTCCCACCCCGCCCTGGGGACAGCCAGAGATGGTATTTGCCGGTTCTCCAAACTACTCAAAATTTTTGCTACCAGTTCTCCAGAGCCTGTCAGAACCTGCTGGATTTCAACCCTGGTTCAAAGTTACAACGGCTTTGAAAAAAAGCGACTTATAACCATTTTTCATACTTATGACCATTGCAGCATCCCCAGGGCCACATGATTTACATTCAGATGCTTGATGACTCACATTTATGATGGTTGCAGTGTCCCTGGATCACGTGATCCTCTTTTGCGACCTTCTGACAAGCAAAGGCACCATCTGGGAGGATCCAGATTCACTTAACAACCGTGTTGCTGATTTAACCACTGCAGTGATTCACTTAATGAATGTGGTGAGGAAAGTCGTAAAATGGGGCAAAACTCACTTAACAAATTTCTCACTTAACAACATAAATCTTTTGGCTCAATTGTGGTCGTAAATTGAGGACTACCTGTACTTGGCATATGATTCATGTTTATGGTGGCTGCAGTGTTCCTGAGTCAGTGTTCCTGAGTCATTTTACGAAAGGTCGTAAAATGGGGCAAAACTCACTTGTCTCATTTAGCAACATAAATTTTGGGCTCAATTATGGTCATAAGTCGAGGACTACCTGTATAAAGTAACACCTCAAAGTAATCACGCAGAAAAGAGCTGCCTCTCAGCACAATGAGGTATGCAGCTCACAAACTCCAGGCACAAACAATTAAAAACTCACCATTTGACTGAATGTTCAGGCCACTCATCGAGATATATACCATGTTTCCCCGAAAATAAGATCAGGTCTTATATTAATTTTTGCTCCAAAAGACGCATTAGGGCTTATTTTCTGGTTATGTCTTATTTTGGGGAAAATACGGAACAAAATGCACCATCTGGCTGACAATCTTAACTGGGGCTTATTTTTAGAGTGGGGCTTATATTACGAGCATCCTGAAAAACCATGCTAGGACTTATTTTCTAGTTGGGTCTTATTTTGGGGAAAATGCAGTACTAAATGCCTCTGTCTGCTGACGATCTTAAATGGGGCTTATTTTTGGGGTAGGGCTTATATTACAAGCATCCTGAAAAACCATGCTAGGGCTTATTTTCTGGTTGGGTCTTATTTTTGGGGAAACGGGGTACAAAGCCTAAAACTAAATGTCCACACATCCAAAAATATCCTTAGAAAATAGTGACTTTTTTAAAAATGAAGTCCACTTGATTAGAATATTTCCCCCCTCCCCCGGTAAGATGTAGTCTCTCCACCAATCTTCTTGCCAAATTCTGCACTGTTCAACCATAAAGATCTCATGCAAAACCAGTACACAATCTGTGCTCTCCACCATCCTGTTTTCAACAGAAGCCACCCAGATGCCTCCAAAAAAAAAAAAAAAAAGCTGGCTAGAGGGGATGAGAGGGGGAGAATGGCCCTCCCCCCCTTTGGCCATCACAACCAATAGCCGTTTCCTTACACGCATGCGTGCCTGCACCTCCTCCTCCTCCTCGTGTCCTTTTATTCTGGATTAATTAATTCACCATTACCCAAAGGACAAGCGAGGGGTGCCATTAATCACTCTTTTTCTTATCTAAAGCATGAATTGGAAAATCTAATTCATCGGCCTTCGGAGGAGAGCCGATTCCACCCATTTCCTAAAGAAACCAAGTTCTATAGCCAACCCACTGAGATTTGCCCCACTGGATCGGTTTCCTTGATTTGTTTTAAAAGGCAAGAGTGTGAGTCGGATCTCCTGGATTTACAGGAATGTCTAGATTATATATATATATATTTTTGTACTCCACGATAAACTTTAAGTGACCAAGGTATGAGAAAAAGAGAAAGAGAGAGATAAGGGGAGGGAGGGAAGAAGAGAGAAGGGGGGGGAGGGAGGGGGGAGGGAAGAAGAGGGAAGAGAAGAAAGGGAGGGAGGGGTGGGGAGGAGGGAGGGAAGGAGGGGAGGGGAAGAAAGGGAAAGGATGAAGAGAGAAGAGAAGGGAAGGGAGGGGAAGGGAAGAGAAGAGGAGGGGAGGGAGGGAAGAAGAGAGAAGAGACGAGATAAGATGAGAAGAGGAGAGGAGAGGAGGGGAGGGAAGAAGAGAGAAGAGACGAGATAAGATGAAAGAGAAGAGAAGAGAAGAAAGGGAGGGGGAAGGGAAGAGAAGAGGAGATGAGGGGAGGGAAGAAGAGAGAAGAGAAGAGAAGAGATGAGATGAGAAAGGAAGAGAAGGAAGGGAGGGAGGGGAGAGGAAGGGGAAGAAGAGAGGAGAGGAGGGAGGGAAGAAGAGAGAAGAGAAGGAAAGGGGAAGGGGAGGGGAGAGGAGGAAAAGAGAGGAGAGGAGGGGAGGGAAGGGAAAAACAGAAGGGGAGGGAAGGGGAGGGAGAGGAGGGGAAGAAGAGAGGAGAGGAGGGGAGGGAAGAAGAGAGAAGAGGAGGGGAGGGGAGAGGAATTCTTATTATGCTCAGGGCTCTGATGGTCCCAAGAAGAGAAGAGGATGGGAGAATATCTATGGAGATTCTCAATCAGCCAAGTCATGGTTGTCCCAAAGTAAATTCCCCCTCCCAAAGGCAACTGGATTTTCTTGTTTGTTTGGGGGTTTTTTTTGTTTGTTTGTTTTCCTTTCTTTGAAAATGTTTCACTTCTCATCCAAGAAGCTTCAGTTCTGAACAAGCTTCTTGGCTGAAAAGAGAAACGTTTTCAAAGAAAAAAAAACAAGAAAATCCAGCTGGCTTTTGGAAAAAGCAACTTTGGGACAAGAGGCTGGGAGGGACTGGCAAAAACACTAAGGCCACGCCACTCTCACAGGGCGGCTTACAATCCAAGGAGAAGCCACCGCAGCAGCCTCACGGAGCTCCGCTTTGTCCAAAGGGAGGAGATCTCGGGCTCCGTGGCTGGGGCCGAGCTGGTCCTGGTGCATCTGCTTGCCAGCTGCCTCAGAGGAAACATCTGGGCCAGGCTGGGCCCTGCCCCAATTCTGACTTGCCCGGGAAGGCTTTCCGGGACTCCCCACTGCAAACCTGGCAGCTGCAGTCACGCCACGGGCGAACTTTCCTGCGCGTTAAGCTTGGCTGGTTTTGCAGCTTAGCCTAAATCGCAGGCTTAATTTCACGCTTTCCCGCGTTACGCCAAGCGAGGCAATCTTGGGCTATTTCAGGACCTGGGTTAAGCGGATTGTGTGAACTCGTCCGGGGGAAAGAAGCAGGAGCGGCCGGCGAGAAAAAAGGGCAGAGCCCCGCGAAGCGCCCGCCTGCAACGCGCGCCCAGCCTCCCGGCTGCGCCCAAGCGGAGCGCGGAACGCGGCTTATTTACGGCTCCTTGGCACTTTTCCCTCCTTGGAAGAGGCCTTGTTGACAGAACCATGTGCTTTCTAGCGAGGGGAGGGGAGGGGGATCCCAAACCCGGCAGCCAGCAGCGAGGAGCGGGAAAGGAGCGGGGGAGAAAAGCAGGGAAGGGGGCGGGGGGGGGGGGGAGGGGGGGGCGGAGGGGGGGGGGGGGGGAAGGGAGGAAGAATGAAGGAAGGGAAGAGAGAAGAGACAGGCGAAGGAAGCAAGGAAAGAGGCGTGAAAGGGGAGACCAAGAGAGGAACGAACGAATGAACGAACGGAGGGAAGGAAGGAAAGATGGAACGGACGGGAACAGAGGAAAGAACGAACGGAAGGAAGGAAGGAGGTGTAGAAGGGAAGAGCAAGAGAGGGAAGGAGGGAGCGAGGGAAGGAAGGAAGGGAAGAGGAAAGAGACAGGCGAAGGAAGCAAGGAAAGAGGCGTGAAAGGAGAGCAAGAGAGGAATGAACGAACGAACGGAGGGAAGGAAGGAAGGAAAGATGGAACGGACGGGAACAGAGGAAAGAAGCGAAGGAAGCAAGGAAAGGGGTGAAAGGGGAGAGTAAGAGAGGGAGGGAGGGAGGAGGAAGAAAGGGTGAGAGGATGGAAGGAAGGAAAGAAAGAAGCAAGGAGGGAGGGAAGGAAAGAGAGAGGAAAAGAGCGAGAAAGAAAGAGAAAGAGAAAGAAAAAAAGAAGAGAAAGAGAGAGAAAGAGAAAGAAAGAAAGAAAGAAAGAAAGAAAGAAAGAAAGAAAGAAAGAAAGAAAGAAAGAAAGAAAGACCTTCCCTGAGCCAAATCCACAACTTCAAAGCAAGGCTCGGGCGGATGAAAGAGGCCCCGGCTCCCCCCCCTCGCGCCTCGCCCTTCCCACCCATCCGCCGCGGGGCGGTGGCGCTTACCTGCTCCCAGGACCAGCAGCAGCAGCAGGAGGAAGGCGAGCGAGCAAGCCGGCGCCAGCGAAGAAGCCATTGGCTCCGGGCGGCGGGCGGTTCACTCCCCACCACCACCACCACCTCCCGGAGCCGCCACCGGAGGCCGAAGCAGCAGCAGCAGCAGCGGGGCCGGGGGGCTGGCTGGGTGGGTGGGTGCGGCGCCTGGCTCCGGCGAGGCTGCGGACAAAGCGCCCGTCCGAGGCTGCGAGCGGAGGGATGTGGGTGGGGGGGAGGTGGGATAAGCCGGCTGAGGTGGGGTGGGGGGGGTCCGGGGCTTGTTCTCCCGAAGGCCGAGCTAGAGCCCCCTCCTCAAACAGGGGCCGGGGTCGCCTTGCGCCATCTTGCCGGGCGGCAGCATCCTCGCGTGGTGCGCTCCGGGCTGCTGCTATTGCTGCGCCCAGCCTGGCCTCTCGCTGCCCACACCCCCCACCCCCAACACCGGCCCAAGCCCCTCCCTCGGGAGGCCCCGCGAAGGGGCAGAACAAAGGCGAGGAACGGCCGGAGGGGCAAGTGACCCCCCCCTCACCTCCACCCCCTCCTCTTCCCCACCCGCGCTCGAGGGGCTCCTGGACCAGCCCAACGGCGGCCGCGCTCCTGGGCAACGAGTGACGGGGGGTGGGGGGCGGTGGGGGGGATGAAAGGCGGTGCAAAGAAAAGCGGACCCCCCCCTCACCCCAACTCCTCCGCGCGCACGTGCACCCGGGCATGGGATACTCCCTGGATACTCCCTGGACTCCCGCCCCCTCCTCCTTCCTGGGCAGGGATGGGATGGGGGCAGGGCTGAAATCCACCAGGTTCTGACAGGTTCCCGAGAACCGGTAGCGGAAATTTGGAGCAGTTCGGGAGAACCGGCAAATATCGTCTCTGGCTGGCTGCCAGAGTGAGGTGGGAATGGAGATTTTGCAGTATCCTTCCCCTGGAGTGGGGTGGGTGAGTGGGAATGGAGATTTTGCAGTATCCTTCCCCTGCCACACCCACCAAGCCACGCCACGCTCACCAAGCCACGCCCAGAGAACCGGTAGTAAAATAATTTGGATTTCACCACTGGATGGGGGGAGGGGGGGGTCTCGCTGGAAGCTGGGGAGATGATGAAGTACCTGGAGTTCACGGATTTGGGGAGGTGGGCGAGGCCGTGCCAGGTTGCAAACCCACCGGCCCTGCTCCGAGGAGGCTAGAAACCCAGCAAGCACCTGAGAAGGAGAGGGGGACACTGAAACACCTGGGGTGGCTGTTGGCCGGGGCTCCTGTTCCCATGTGCCTGTGCTGGATTATGGGAACTGCAAACCTTGCACCTGGATCGGCCAGGTTGGTGGCTAGGTGAGACCCCCCCCCCAAGGCTTGGAGGAAGCCAAGATCTCTTCCTCCCTTCCCAGGGAAGTCTGTGGAGATTGCAAGGAAGATAAAATCCTGCCGTCTTCCGCCATTCAGTCAGAACTGAAGAAGCTCCTTGGATGAGAAGCGACAGGTCTTCAAGGAAAAACAAAAGAAAGTCCAGTTGCCTTTTGAAGAAACGCCTTTGGGTTTTCAATATTTGTAAGCTGCCCAGGGAGGGGCTGCAGGTTATGGTGGTTGGCCTGCTTTCTTATCTCTCTACAGCAGGAGATTCTCAAATGGGGAGGCACCCCCTGCAGAGATTCGTTAAGCGGGTTTTCCTCTCGTTTTATGACCTTTCTTGCTTACAGTTGTTAAGTGAATCATTGCAGGGGATAAGCGAGTAACCCGGTTGTTAAGTGAATCTGGCTTCCCCATTGGTCGCAAAAGGGGATCGCGTGACCTTGGGACACAGCAGTGGTCATAAGTAGGAGTCAGTTTCCAAGCCTTTGAATTTTGATCACATGATCCGTGGGGATGCTGCAAAGGTCCGTTAACTGTGCGGAACGGTCATAAGTCGCGTTTTTCAGTGTCGCTGTAACTTGGAATGGTCACTAAATGAGCCGTTGTAAATCAAGGACTACCTGCTGCGAAGTTCCTTTCAGGATCCCTCCCCCCCCCTTTCAAACTCTGAGATCTGTGGAGACAAGCATTTGCTGAGGGTTAATTCCAGTGGTGAAATCCAATTTTTTTTACTACCAGTTCTGTGGGCGTGGCTTGGTGGGCGTGGCAGGGGAAGGATATTGCAAAATCTCCATTCCCTCCCCACTCCTGGAGGAAGGATACTGCAAAATCCCCATTCCCTCCCCACTCCTGGGGGAAGGATACAGCAAAATCCCCATTCCCTCCCCATTCCTGGTTGAAGGATACAGCAAAATCCCCATTCCCTCCCCACTCCTGGGGGAAGGATATTGCAAAATCCCCATTCCCTCCCCACTCCTGGGGGAAGGATATTACAAAATCCCCATTCCCTCCCCATTCCTGGTTGAAGGATACAGCAAAATCCCCATTCTCTCCCCACTCCTGGGGGAAGGATACTGCAAAATCCCCATTCCCTCCCCACTCCTGGAGGAAGGATACTGCAAAATCCCCATTCCTACCCCACTCCTGGAGGAAGGATACTGCGGGACCGGCTGCCCATGCGTGTAAGTAGTTGGTGGGGGGCTTATTTTGGTGGGGGGCTTAGTTTAACGCATGCGCTGAAAAGCCCAATTGGGCTTATTATCCGGAGATGTCTTAGTTTCGGGGAAACAAGGTATGAACAGAAAATCTACAAAGGATTTTCTGTTGCACAAGCTTACACTGAATGCCATGTGGTGGTCGAGCCTATTTGCCCGATCTATAGAAGAGCTGTTTCCAGATATAGCCAAATTTCTTTCAGTCCGAATATTTTATGCATTCGTACTGAAAACGACACATTTATGGGTTATTTTCTTTGGTCATCTAGTTTCAGTCTCCGTTCTCATTATAAAGGTGCCAAAGTCTTAAGGAGAGGACATACAATACCGTTTCTTCTAGCTGGAGGAGAGATTACTAAACATTGAAACCAGATTCCTTCCCTTGACGGAGATAGCCAAGCAAAACACTTCGCTTCACAGAACAGCTACTGAATTCCACTCCCCCGTCACTAACAGATTAGACCCAAGCTGGTAATAACCGTTCCAACTGCATTAGAAGCACTTTGATGGAAAATTAGTCAAAAAGCAAAGGGAAAGGGAAGAAAACGCAGAAAATGCAACAGTTGCTGCTTGTGGAGGGGAGAGGGAGTATTAATCTTCCATGAGGCTACACTTACATTCCACCAAAATATAATCGGCTACTTTTGGGTACATTGCAGTGGTGGGTTGCTACTGGTTTGCACCGGATCAGGCAAACCGGTAGCAGCGGCGACAGCAGGAGGCTCCGTCCACTCACCTGAACACTTCTGCACATGCGCAGAAGAATCGTGCACGAGTGCATGCACACCCACAAGTGAACCAGTAGCAACAGGTTTTGAAACCTGCCCCTGATACAGTGCCAATATTAACAATGTCTTTAATGGAGATGGTGTAGGAGAAGAGCAGGCAGAGGTCGGGAAGGGGCGGAGTTAAACGAGCCATCAGCCTAGAATCATTGCGTTCCCACAAACGGTCTAATCCAATTTCTCTTGAAATCCATTGACCCTTATCTGGTACCAATTTAGTGTTGAACTTTACTTGAATAGATTCTTGTATGAAGGCTTGAGCAATAGTTCTCTCTCTGGGCACCTCCTTGAGATTATATCTGCTGAATATAACTCCGCCTTGGCGACAGGAAGGGCATCTGGCCAGTAAACACTCAGACTCCACCCTGCAAGGGATTATGGGGTCATTAAAAGACTACGATGACGATGTAGGCTTGAACAATAAATATTCTGAACTGCAACTTAACGGATAGTCCTGATTCTTTGCGCTTGACAGATGAACAGGAATGCCCAGTTGTGAGTTCTTGCATCACAGTAAACCATTGTTTTGCTAATAGTGGATAGTTAAATAAATCATAACTAGCTAAATTGTAAGCTATAATCATGATTTACAAATCACAATAGATCAGTTTCTATCACAGGCTAACCCAAATCAAGTAAAACACATGGCTCACAATAATGTAGGAAAGTATTTGCAGCTGTACACACTACTTCATAAAACAGCTGGGGTCTCCAGATGTGTAAAGTTTCAGCTTTTATAATCCCAGACCAAAATGGCACCTATTTACAATTTACAAACAAGATTAGCTGAGAACTATGTTATCTGCACAAGTAAATGTTAGCCGAGTGTGAATGGACTCTATCTTGGATTTTTATAAAAAAATAAATAAATCCAAGCTCGATTTGTGTAGAAAACCTGATGGAAATAAGTAGATTTATGGTCCTTGTCCTACAACAAGGATACTTTAACAGTACAACTTGGATTGACAAGACAGTAGACCTTGAAATAAAATAGATTCTGACAGCTTATTGGAAGAGATCAAGGTTTTTAATTTATGTGGCATGAGGAGGTGAGAGGGGAACTTTATGCATCTGGCCTTGGCAGATCTCCAAAAAGAGCTTTTTAAATGTATGCAACTAAAATACCAGAAATATTAGTGGGCTACAACTTTAGCATCTGGACCACAAAGCATGTTCTAAAGCAGGACTTCCCAAACTTAACAACTTTAGGACTTCCAACTCCCAGAGTTCCCCAGCCAGCAATTCTGGGAATTGAAGTCCACACATGTCTTAGCATTACCAAGTTTGGGAACCCCTAATCTAAAACTTAAACAACAGTGTAAACACAGCACACATATCCAAAACAAGTCACCCCTACTCAGTGGTGGGATTCAAATAATTTAACAACCGGTTTTCTGCCCTAATGATGGTGGTCATGTGACCGTGTTGACATGGCCAACTCAACATCACTCACTGTTACAATGTAATAAGGGTTAACCAGAGAGGCAGTTTCTGTAAGCAGGGCAATAAAGATTAGGCTAGAAACAACACCAGAATGTTGCCTTCCTTACAGGATTAGCCCTGTAAAGTGGAATAAAACAAAATAAGATTTCTTCCAACAACTGGTTCTCTGAACTGATTAGAAAGTTAACAACCGGTTCTCCCGAATAGGTGTAAACTGGCTGAATCCCACCGCTGCCCCTACTGGCTTATTGACTTGCGTGAACTACACCTACGGCTTCATACATGGGGATAATTCATGCTTTGTGTAAACTGTCATTACACTAAGCTTGAAAGAATGGCTTAGAGACAACGTGAAAAGCCCGATAGGCAGTTGCTTAGCATGAGTTATACATTTCATCAATTTCTTTTTAAAGGAGTAACTTAATAATAGAGGCATTAGCTGAGTTCAATTTGTTTGTGGTTTATGGGCATTTGTGGTATGATATAATACCAGGCACGGTAGTCTAGTATGAATTAGGCATTAAACTGTGGCTGGAAAGATCACAACAATGCAAACCCAACCAATTATCTCAGTGAAATGATTTTTGACTCTTGATTTTTCTTCTCTCCTGTTTCTTTGACATCGTCTTTTAAAATGTGGGTATTTATGTGGTTAGTACAAAGAACGGGAAGATAAAGGATGATATACAATGAAGACTTGATTATTGATAGAAATAAGTCACAGCTGAATTCATGCTGCAAAATGATCTGTCACTTTTTTTTTACTTGCTTTCAAACAATTTGATAAATAATTCCTTCGTATGTTTAACTATATCTTGTCCATTTTGACCAGTACAATGTTTAAGGCTAACATATATCTACTTTAATTAAATTCAATGGAATCCCTTTTAATGTGATCAACCAATCATCTATCTCCATCCATCATCCATCCATCTATCTATCTATCTATCTATCTATCTATCTATCTATCTATCTATAGAATAGAATAGAATAGAATAGAATAGAATAGAATAGAATAGAATAGAATTTTATTGGCCAAGTGGACACACAAGGAATTTGTCTTGGTGCATATGCTCTCAGTGTACATAAAAGAAAAACAAAAAAAGGCAAGATACGTTCATAAAGAATCATAAGGTACAACACTTAATGATAGTCATAGGGTACAAATAAGCAATCAAATCATGTTAGAAAACAGTCAATATAAATTGTAAGGATACCAGCAACAAAGTTACAGAAATACAATAATAAATGGGAGGAGATGGATGATAGGAATGATGAGAAGATTAATAGTAGTGCAGACTTAGTACATAGTTTGACACTGTTGAGGGAATTATTTGTTTAGCAGAGTGATGGTGTTCGGGAAAAAACTGTTCTTGTGTCTAGTCTAGTCTAGTCCATCTGTCTGTCTATCTGTTTATCTATCTATCTATCTATCTATCTATCTATCTATCTATCTATCCATCCATCCATCCATGTACCCATCCTCATCTACCTACAGTACCTACCTTCCTACCCTATTTATATCATCTCTATCATCAAGTATTTATCATCTGGCTTTCTATCATCTCTATGTTTATCACCTGTCATCTATCATCTCTTCCACTATCAATTATCTATTGTCTGTCTGTCTGTCTGTCTGTCAGTCAGTCTCTCTCATCTCTCTCATCTCTCAATTATCTCTTTTGCTGTCATTAATTCTCTCTCTCTCTTTCTGTTGCTTATATCATCACCCATCCACTAAAGGAACTCTGGATGGCAAACAGTGTGACTTTATGGTGCAGCCCTATGAAACTTTCAAGAGAATGGACTGAGATTTGAACTCAATGAATCTCATTGGAACGGATTATAGCATAACACGCTTTTAAAATCTGCTTCAGTGGGTTTCATGATCTGGCCCTAAAGATCACATAGGGGCATCAAACTATGAAATACCCTGTATAAATTTCTAAATGTCATTGTCAGAGCAAACACTCAGGTGTGTCAAAGCCCAACTCATTCCTTTCGGTTAAAAGGATCTCAAGAAATTGGAAAACTGCATTTCACAGTTAATTCTGCTATTGGTTTATTGTTCATATTTTCGATTGCATTTTTGTTCAGGCGATGTGACAAACGGATTAGTCTCCGATGCTGCCTGAAAACTTTGTCGTTGTAGAACACTGGAAAATGAAAAAAGTGCATTTAATTGGTTTGGTCAAATTTAGTAACATTGAAAACTCTTACAACTAAGGATACGGGACGTATTCAGGTCAGAGGTGGGTTTCATCAGGTTCTGACCAGTTCTGGAGAACTGGTAGTGGAAATTTTGAGTAGTTCTGAGAACTGGTAAATACCACCTCTGACTGGCCCTGCCCCCCTCTATTCTCTGCCTCCCGAGTCCCAGCTGATTGGGGGATTTTGCAGTATCCTTTCCCTGCCACGCCTACCTAGCCATGCCCACTTAGCCATGCCACGCCGATCAAGCCACGCCCACAGAACCAGTAGTAAAAATGTTTGAATCCCACCACTAATTCAAGTATATCTTTACACTTCCATGATTTATTCAAATCCAATTGGCATTTTTTCACCAAGAAATTTATTTTCGTTGGGCAAAAGTCATGCTGAGTAGAAATATTGAATATGGATATTAAAGAAGTTGTATTTCTCCCTAGCATCATAGAGGTATCCATATTTGTGTGTGTATGTGTATGTATATGGAAATTCCACCCATTTTAAACTTTTTTAAAAATTTGCTTTTGTTCTGGGTACACGATTTCTTGTTCTCTATATTTTTAAAAAACATTTGTCCAATGTTCAGTTTCCTCAATCAAAAAGCAAAGGAAAAAAAAATCCATGACAGAAGTGAGTTAAAAATGGCAGCCTCTTCAGATGACTTTTAATTTTTTTTTGCAAGATGGAAGAAAAGCGGAAATAGAATATTCATTATTAAACTCAGGAGTTTGGTAACACCTTTTCATATGCTTTGAATTAATTAAAAGGCTTTAGGTTCTATTAGCTACACACAATGTGTTACTCTGAAAAAATGATAGCAGACTTCAGATTTCTGTTTGGGATGAAACATTTTTGTTTTCCTACAGTAAACTTGTATTTAAATCCACCTAAACAGTAACAGTTATGTTAATTAATGCACTCAGATCATTATGGCAATTAAAAAAAAAAGATCTTATGACCTCCACCTGATAGACCCTTAATGCAGAGGAGAAATCCAATTTTTTTCCCTACCAGTTCTGTGGATGTGGCTTGGTGGGCGTGACAGGGGAAGTATATTGCAAAATTTCCATTCCCACCCCACTCCAGGGGAAGGATACTGCAAAATCTCCATTCCCACCCCACTCTGGGGCCAGCCAGAGGTGGTATTTGCTGGTTCTCCAAACTACTCAAAATTTCCGCTACCAGTTCTCCAGAACCTGTTAGAACCTGCTGGATTTCACCCCTGCCTTAATAGCCAGCTTTTGAGCAAGGTTTATGGCATAAAGTTTTGGCTCTAGAGATGATTTAGGTGAAATCTGGAGTAATGCTCTTGAGGCAAGGGTATCGCCTCCAAGGTAGAATTGGATTTCTCTTGGTGTATCAGCCAACATAATGCCCAACTTAGGAAATCATCCCTAAATAGAATAGAATAGAATAACAAGAGTTATTCGCATGCCATAGGTTCGCCATCCTGGCCCTATACCATTTCAGACAAATATCTGTCCAACCACTGTTTGAAAATTTTCAGTGATGGAGCACCCACAACTTCTGGAGACAAGCTATTCCATTGATTAATTGTTGTCACTGTCGGGAAATTCCAGGTTGGACCTCTCTTTGATTAGTTTCCATCCCTTCTTTCTTCTCTTGCTTTCTGGTGCTTTGGAAAATAGGTTGACCACCTCTTCTTTGTGGCAGCCCCTTAGATATTGAAAGACTGCTATCATGTCATCCCTAGTCTTTATTTTCATTAGACTAGAGATATCCAATGCCTGGAAACAGTTCTTCATGTTTTAGCCTTCATTCCACTAATCATCTTCCTTCATTGCTCTTCTCTGCACTCTTTCTAGAGTCTCAACTTCTTTTTTATATTGTGGCAACCAAAACTGGATGTAATATTCCAAGTCTAGACTTACCAAGACATTATAAAGTGATATCTAAAGATAGATACTTACTAGTATGTCTTTCTTCCCACTTATTGCTATCACCATGTTGCTTGTATCTTTCAATTATATTGTTTTTACTTGTTTCCTAGTATGATTTGATAGCTTAGTAGTAACCTTGACTATCACTAAGTGTTGTATCTTTTTTTTTTTGCAAAAAGTTTTTTATTTTTTAACCAAAAACAACATAAAACATCATCCTTCCAAACAATTACAGACAGTATTTCGATCGGTTAAAATCATTTCGTGCTCTCAAAATTTTCAAAATCTCATTATATGACAAATGTTCTTTCTTCTAACAAAAAACAAATGTTTAAACATTTTATCCAAATTTCATTTCATATACTAAGTGTTTGTATCTTTTTATTCTTGGTGAATGTATTTTATCCCCCTTATGTATACTGAGAGCATATACACCTAAGACAAATTCCTTGTGTGTCCAATCACACTTGGCCAATCAAGAATTCTATTCTATTCTACCGTGTTTCCCTGAAAATAAGACCCTGTCTTATATTTTTTTGAACCCCGAAATAAACGCTTGGCTTTATTTTCAGGGAGGTCTTATTATTTTGGGGCGTGTGGATCAAGATGGGGCTCCTCTTGCAGTCTTACCTGATTTCCAGTTCTGCATTTAAATATTTTTGGGGAGGGCTTATTTTCAGGGGAGGGTTATTTTAGCGCATGTGCTCAAAAGTCCGATTGGGCTTATTATCGGGGGATGTCTTATTTTTGGGGAAACGGTATTATTCTATTCTATTCTATTCTATTCTATTCTATTCTATTCTATTCTATTCCATTCCATTCCATTCCATTCCATTCCATTCCATTCCATTCCATTCACACTTCACATGATCTTGATTCTATTTTGCCTTGTTGACTATTTCCCCCCAAGTTTTGGTAATCTGGAGGTCAGGGATGAATATATACCCTTCTTATTTGATAAGTTTAGATATGAAAGGGGAGTTGCTATCAAATCTTCTGTCCTTGCAGACTAGACACTTGGAGGAATTCCAGATAGCTACAAAGCAGCATTTTCTTGCCAAAGTATATGGCTTTGAAACAGCCACTTCGTATCCTTTCTGCCTTAGACCTAAACATGACAGATGAAGAACGGACAAACCATGATTCATAGCCAGGAATAACCTGCTGAAACAGAGTAGGCAATTATCCCAACCTCACAAAACCATCTTTCCTATAATCTAAATGTCTTGCTATTAACTAATTGTGTTTCGATTATTATTATTTTTTTAAAAAAAAATACAGACCATTTCTGATATCGTTTAGCAACATTGATCATAATGTGTCAGTGAATTCTACAAACATTTAAAGCGGAAGAGAGAAAGAAAGAAGAAAGCGGGACCAAAGAGCAAAATCTACTCCTTTATTTTCATTAAAAAAACAAAACAAAACAAAAAAACAAGCATGAGGTAGTTGTGTTAAGGGGAAAAGGGAGACACAACAGAGAAAAAGGTGTAAAAAGGCTACTCTAGAACACACGCTATTATTATTTCCCCCCCTCTCTTTTATATAAAATTAAATAATATAAAGACGCTCTGAAGAAATAAAAAATACATTGTCATACGTTAAAAAAGGAGAAAAGAGATAGATCCAATACCTAAAATATCAGGTACAAGAATTCAGAGGCCTAAATTGGCAAAAAATGCCTGTTGCGAATCTAATGCAAAGAATCCTGTACAGATTCCAGTCACTTCCATGGGGCTGGTGTGGGGAAAATCCCCACTTAGGCCTCCTAACCTAAATGCACAGATTGGTGAGGCAAGCCAGGTGGGCCAACTCGCTGCAGCCAACTTGCCACGGTCAACTCGCCTTGGCCGATTGGCTGCGGCCAACTCAATACGGCCAACTCGCCACGCGACCCCTCGCTGCGGGACAATTCACCAATTCAGTTTCATGATTTAAAATAACGTAAACCTTATTTTGATGTTTGTCATTCACATTTCATTTTGTCCCTCCTTTGGCATCCTTTTTTTTTTAAATGATTCTATTCCACTGTTTCTTTGATCATTGGTGTAACTCTTGTTCCGGGGCGCGTCCCCCCACCCCCGTGGTGAGTTGGCTGAGGCGAATTGTCGTGGACCCAGCCCAAGAGGCTGAAAAAGGTTCTCAAGTTTTCAGTACAAGCTGTTAGAAGCACTTGCAGAGTGTGTCGTAAGGAACTGCCCCGCCTACTTTTTGGAAGAGTCATCTTACGCAACAGAAGCGAGAGCTGTGAGAGAGATGGCTTTCAGCTTGAAACCCCAAAGAAATGAGAGAAACAGCCAGCTCTGTTTTCTTTTTTAAATTCTGCATTCCAAGAAAGGAACCTCCAGAGTTGAGAAAACGGGTTGCATCAGAGTGAAAAACCATGGTTGAATCGTCGCTCTAGTTTTTCAAAAGATTCTACCAAGAGAACGTCTCCGTAATCTTCATCAGCTCTCAGCCAGAAGGGGTCCAGTCCACTTCAGACCACCCCTGTTTCAGACAAAATGGTAAGACTAGTTTGGTAGGACTAGCTAGGACCTACCAAAGCTTGCTTCACCATAGTGTGTTGAAGAATCCACAAATGGTTGGCTTTGAGAAAGATGCTGGTTATAAACCATGATTTACAAACCAAGTGGCTGGCTGAACATAAATTCATTCAGGTCATTTGATTTTGGCTTCGTGTATGGTGTGACCCATCTCAAAGCGTTAAGCAGGCTAATCAATTGTTTCAGTGTCCTGCAGACTGAAGCCACAATAACAAGGAACTCCAATGAGGGTCAAATCTTCTTAACCAAGTGATGGAGAAAAACCTGTGGTTCTTGCATCACTCTTAGCCATGTGGATAATAGAATCAAATGGGTAGGTTCACACTACTCTTGAAGATTACAACGTTCACATTTGTTTTTCAGTCTTTCACTCAACTTTCCTGTAGTCACTCCAAGATTGCTCTTAGTTCTTGGTTCTCTCCCCATCTCTGCTAATCTCTGGGGGAAGGCTTCACCCAATGGGCCAGATATTATTGCAGCAAGAAAAGTATCACTAGTGGGGTCTTCGAATCAAAGACAAATGGAGACAGTCCACTTGATTTTCGGAACTTCATCACTGATAGATGGTCCGTACAAGATGGTCCATCTTACAATGGGGGAATGTAAATTACGTTCCACCTATAGCATGCCCATTTCAAGAGAATGCCATCAGGCTGAAGGTGAATCACTGCAGCACCAATAGTACTTTTCATAACTTATCAGCTCTGGTTAAGGAGGAACACTGGCCAAAAATGGAACTATGTCATGAAGGAAACCTTCAGTTCTTTTGTTGACGGAGTTAAAGTACAAACATACTGGTTGCGTGAGAAGTTACCTAGACACAATCCATCTCTTAGACATCTTCAGGACACTAACGCCCATCTAACGCAAAATATATCTGCGGTTTGTTCTGGTGTGATTTACACTAGCCACATCTTGCATCAAACCCAGAATGCCAGAATATGTTAGCAGGAAGCTGACAAGATTAATGTGTGAATGTTTGGTTAACCCTCTAACCCAGAGCTGTCAAACTCCGAGCCCGTGGGCGAGATGCGTCAGGCGTTGGCCACGGCCACGCCCGGTTTAGCGAAGGGAAAAAAAGTCCTGCCTCGTCACATGACATTGCCGTGACAATGTGAGTTTGACACCTCTGCTCTAACCATCCCAATGCTAATAGGAAAGGAAATCACATCCAGGCAATTGGGAATATTCCTCTGATTCAGTGCCTGAGTTCACACAACATGCTAAGCCAAGTTATGCTTTATCAGAGTCTGCTAACTAAAATAGCTGGGTTGACAAGCCACATTCAACTGTAACCTATGATTTATACACCATAAGGGTGGGTGGGTCACACAACATGCTTAAGCTACCAATGAACAAACCGTACATTGCCTTGTTGCGTTCTCTCTACATCTAGAGACTGACGGTGATTTTCTAAAGGGGGCTGAAAGTGGCTTGATGCTTCAAACCGATTTGTTAGGTTTTGGAGACCCGGGAGAGAAATATTTTCACAATTATCTTAATCGAAAGATCCTTGCAAAAAATACAAATGTATAGTATGCTGATGCAAATTTATTTTCTTCCCAGTTTGCGATGGACGTTTGGAGACCGATGTGTCTTCTTAGTAAAAACAGCGTTGGCAAAAAAAAATTGCATTTGGCTTTAGCCCAACATCAGTACCTACGGCAGCAGAACAAGGGATACTACGAAATCTTCTCAGGCCATCTTTACTTATTGCTTTCCATCTCTGCTTCATTTTCATCCTTTGGAGACGTAGAAGAAGGGCACCTAAGATCCGTGACAACGTTCAGAACAGCAGTTCAACTCCAGGACCAACCTCAGGACGTCTCATGAAACCATCTTCCTCCCAACGCAACTGGTTATGTGCGACAGCTGCACCTGGTAGTAAAATGGTGTATTTAGCTGGTGGGCCTTACGCTGCCTACTCCTGGGTCTTGGTGAGGCACAACATTAACTCATAATTGGTATGAAGTTCGCCGATCCTCAGTAGCCTTTGCAGAGCGGCTGGGGAAGAGAGAGAGAGCAGACACAATACTTCGTGGGGGGGAAGGGGAGGGAGGTCCTCCTTATAAACTCTTACAGAGCTAATATCATTCCCTTCCCTTCCCAACCACACTTTATGAGACTATTCAGTGCCACGAAGGCCTAATCTTTACAGCTATTCTGTTTCTCCGAGGTCTGCCGCGGCCAAGAATTTAATCGAAGCTCTCATCAAAGATGGTGGACGCACGCTGCGTTTTCAAACCCGGAAGGAGAGTCAATCATATTAGAGAGGCCGCTATGCAGAAGGCCTTGCGGGTGGGCGGTGGGAAGAGCGTCGCGCAAGATGGGCTGTGTGTCCACTGCCCCTTTGTGAGATGGCTCAGAGTCCCCGCTTCCCATTGCGTCCGAGCTTCCTCCCATCTGGGGGAGCCCTCCATCTTCTCCATGTAATTTGGTAGCTCTCTGGTGATCCTCTTTCTTGATCTTCAGCAATGTATCCGGGGCTTCAGGCTGACCCTTGCCATCTCGGTCTGGGGATATAATATTGAGTTCTTGCTGAGAAGGACTGTAAGAAACCTGCTCAGGTAGATCTTCCATGGGGACTGTTTCTGGTTCACAATCCTCACAGGGAGTCCTTTCCAGGTCCAGCATGTGGAATTGGGAACCACAATCTCGGTTGGAGGCTAAGAAATCCGAATGGACAATGACCTCGGCTTCCAGTTGATTGAGGCTGCTGAGTGGGTGCTCCTTTTTCGCTTCATTCTTGGGAGTCAAAAAAAAGAAAAAGAAAAAAGGATTGTTAGAACTCTAGAAACGGACGTGGCCCCTGAGATCAACAAACCCAACTCCCTGTTAGTGCAAGAATCCAAATTTAAGTCAGTAAGAACGTATTTCAAGAACATACCCAGTAAGCTCAAGGTAGAAGCAGGAGAACGATGCTAAATCACCCAACCTGCTTGAATTAGACCAGGGGTTTCAAACTCGAATTCATTGAGGGCTGCATCAGGGTAGTGTTTGACCTTTGGGGGGCGTGGCTGGAGTGGGGTGGGCGTGGCCAGCTCGACATCACTCATGTCGAGGGTGCTTGTGCTGGTCCAAGCGTTATGCCAGCAGAAACAGGCTCCCGAGCTCTGTTTTCGGCTGCGACGGCCTCCTGCAACCCTCTGCCAGTGAAAACGGAGCATGGGAGTGCTGCCTGTGGCCCTTGCAAGCTCTGTTTTCACTGGCAGAGGCACTGCGGGCCGGTCCTTCACTGTTTCCAGAGTGGCCCCGTGAGCCAGATCTAAGCACATCACAGGCCAGATTCGGCCTCCAGCCCTTGAGTTTGAGACCCCTGTATAGTGTGTTCTTAGCCAGGTGATGTTGTGGTCCGCCAGCAGTCTACGGAGCTGGCAGCGGAGTCGGACAGTGAAGAGGCTGGGGAGGAACATGGGCCAAGGCTTGGACAAAGGCTCTGCATCGGAGGCAGAGATGGAGCCAGGGCCATCTGGGAGTTATGCGCGGACTCCAGAGCCTCCAGAATCAGACAGCAGAGAGGCAGAGGAACAGGAGGAGCTTGTTCCTAGTGTGCGCATGCGCAAAGCTGCCAGAAGGCAAAAACAGGGACGACTCAGGAGTAAGGCCTGGAGATGATTGGCCCCTCCCATAAGGCTTAAAAGAGGAGCAAAGGAATGTGGGCCCTTTGTAGAAAAGCAACGTTGTTAATTCTGTTCCCAGTCGGCATCTCTGTTTGATTCTGGACTCCATGTGGCTTTGCCAAGTAGGTCTTTGCAGCATGTCGAGGGAGATAAAGTTTGATGATTATCCCGAAGGACTTCTCCCGAAGGACTTTTTGCAACTAATTGGGACTCAGCTGTGAATGAACATAATTTACAGCTGTTGCAATAAAAGAGGCTTTTGGGACTTCTCGTGTGTTTTAATGACTCAGGAAGCCGAGGTCACAATAGGCGAGCTGTGGCTAGTCTACCTTCAGAATCCTGCTATTCAGCATACCAAGAAACCACTAGGAGAGGCTGGGTGCTTATTCTGCTATTTTATTTTGTTGGGCCATGTACAAAATCCAGAGCAGAAACGACCCAATGACGTGCAGCTCCTGAAATCAGTGCTCTGTTCAAAGCGTGATAAATCCCAAAACCAGTATGATAAGTGAAGCTGAGCACCTTTGTTGTGGCCCCGCCCTCTGAGCCTATCTCATCGGAGGAAGAAAGCTCCGAACATGAGAAAGAGGAGTCAGCCAGGCCTCCCTCTCCAGGCCCCTCCCCTCTGGCACTGTCTCAGGTGCCGGCCGAGGGAGAGGAGATTAGCCAGGAGCCAGGTGTCTCGGATGAGAGCGAAGGAGAGCCGTCATTCCTGGATGCACGCCAACGAAGGCGTGATAAATGGTTGCAGCAGTTAAGGAGGAGTGCTAGGGATTAGAACTGAGTCACTGGACCACACCCCAGAGACTATATAAGAGAGGGTGGTGGCTGGTAAAACTCCGTGATGAACAAAAACTAACTCTGGCTAGTCACTTGAACAACGTCTGAAGCTGCCGATGGGATATTGTTTTGCTGGACTATTTGCAATGCGTATGTAATTTTATGTTATCTGTTGCAGTAAAAGCTCTTGGCAGACGGTGATTATATTGCTGCCAAGTTTGAGATAATGACCTGTGTGCGTGCCAAGTACTTTCTTAACCCTCGGCTGGCTGTGTTTGTGTGTGTGTGTGGACGGGGACAGATCAACCTTAAGAGAACTTCACCATCTCCATAGTTAGTCTTTTAACGAAGTGGTGGGTCTCCATCCCATTATGGACAGAAAAAGTCTCCCTGCTGGGAATACACACCGTGACAACCTCGTAAACCAGAGCTTGCAACAAGAGCTTCTGTCCTCCATTGGAAGCCATCTTCAGTGATCCATTTAAAGCCACGGTGGGCTCTTTTGGAATGGAGACTTCGTAGCCGGCGATGCTGTTTGTCCAGCTGTTCAGAGATTTCTCCCATGGAGGCTGCAGAATCAAAAGAAAAGGCACGTTATCTCTAATCCCACACTGGCATTTATCTGCTTAAAGCTATTTTATTTGCTCTTCCTTCTGATTTTAATTTCACAGGGCTTTACAAGAGTTCTCGGCATAATGTCGAACAACATGATCACAGCTTCATTTTAACGACAAAAGACCTAGATGAACACAAAAAGGCTTTGGCTAGGAAAACTACAACATGGCATCTGGAAAACCTCTCAAAACAGCATTATATATATTTTTTTCATTTCCTCTAGTTGGCAACTATTGTATTTCTGGAAGATACTCAAAGAACAACTTCAGCAGAAGACTTTAAATACACAACTTCATTAGAAAGGAAATCTGAAATCGGAAGATTCGAAAGTTCAGGGTTGAAAGAATTTAGAGTTTAAAAGTTAAGCACCTGTATCTTGAATTGATAGAGAAGGGGTAAAATACTTTGGAAAGCAGTATAAAATTGAGGTATTGTGGTTCCTGGACCAGCTGAAAGAGTGCTGATGATTTTCTGCCTTATTTTGAAAATCAAAAACTTCTTCAAGTATAATGGATAGTAATACAACTGGAAGGTTGGGGCAGGGGTGAAATGTAAAATTTGTTACTACCGGTTCTGTGGGCGTGGCTTGGTGGTGGTGGGGTAATGTGACTGGGTGGGCGTGGCCAACTTTTTTTTTTTTAAACTTTTCAAAGCATTTTTTCTAATGCTTTGAAAAGCCTCAGCCAATCAGGAAATTCAGCTGGGATCGTCAGAGACTTTTCAAAGCATTTTTTTAATCACCTCTTTGGCCAAGAGGTTGCAGAAAAAAATGCTTTGAAAAGCCTCTGACGATCCCAGCTGAGCCACAGGATCATCAGAGACTTTTTTTTTACTTTTAAAAGCATTTTTTCATCAGAAGAGGTTGTAGAAAAAATGTTTTTAAAGCACTAAAAAAAAAAAAAAAGCCTCTGATGATCCTGCAGCTCAGCTGGGCATGGGGGGGGGGGGGGTGCAGGGATTTTTGCTACTGGTTCTCCGAACCACCCGCCGCCATCGCTACCGGATCCGGCGATCCGGTCCAAACCAGGAGCATTTCACCCCTAGATTAGGGGCAGTGGAATAGTGTAACCAAATTGTCACTGTTCAAAAATTATAGAAGCATATATACATGTATGAAAAGTCTTCACATATACAATATTTTGTCTGGTTTTACTTTTTGCTTCTTTTCCCTTTTTCCGTTAAGTCAAAAAAATAAACGCCATTTTTTATCAAAAGAAATGCAGCCAACTGAGCAGTGTGTGTGTGCGCACACACACAGATATGCTTGCAAACAACTTTCATAATGGAAAAGTCTCCTGCTTGTCCCCACAAAGTGCAAAGAGCAGGACAAACACAAGCACACACGCACACACACAAACACAATGATGTCTTAGCAGGTCAACTTTCAGCAGTGCATTTGCTTCCCTCTAGTGGCTACACAAATGCAGGCAGGATTTACTGCGTTTAGAGTCGGTGTGCATTTGTGCTTACAATACATTTGTAAATGCTGGACTTGGAAGCTATTAGTGGACCTTTTAAATGGGCAAAGGATTGGGAGGGGTGTCAAAAAAGGGGGCAGGGCCAACTGAAGGCAATATAGGTAGCCCTTGGCTTATAACCATTCGTTTAGCAATCATCTGAAGCAGTGGTGGGTTCCTCCTGGTTCGGCCCGGTTCGGCCAAGCCGGTAGAGGTGACGATATGACGTCACCGAACTGGTTTTGCCCCCCCCGTCCCCCCCACATTGTTCTTACCTTTTATTTGGCCCCACCCCAATCTATTTGCTGCCTCCCGAGTCCCAGCTGATCGGCTAGAAGGAAAAAAACCATTTAAACTCTTGCCGCGGGGCTTCAAAGGGCCGCCCTACAGCTGATCAGTGTTAAAAGGCAGTGTGGTGGTAGACCAGTGCCTCCAAAAACAAATGAGTAGACCGGTGCCTGCAAAAATAAATGGGTAGACCAGTGCCTCCAAAAACAAATGAGTAGACCGGTGCCTGCAAAAATAAATGGGTAGACCGGTGCCTCCAAAAACAAATGAGTAGACCGGTGCCTCCAAAAAACAGCTCTGCAAGCAATTAAAAGTCTGGTAGACCAGTACCTCTGCTAAATCCTAAAGAATTGTCACCTGACCATCAAGCCACGCCCACAAAATAAGCCACGCCCACAGAACCGGTACTAAAAAAATTTAGAACCCACCCCTGCTCTGAAGTTATAATAGGTAAAAGTAAAGGTTTCCCTTGTCCAGACGTGTCCCACACTAGGGGGCAGTGCTCATCTCCGTTTCTTAAGCCAAGAGACTCAGGGTTGTTCGGGAGATTTCCGTGGTTACAGTAATGGCCCAAATTGTGGAAACCTTTTGGGAAAAGTGTATTTTCTAAAACTAGCAAATAACACCACTTTTTTGGAATAGTAGTACCCTAAAATTATATATCAATGGAAAGATAATTTAATGAAGAATGTAATGCAATAACTTTTATGAAGGATTTGCTATTAGAATAGCAGTTACAGTATAAAGAAGAAAAGTGAAACACGTAGAAAAAAATGAGATAAACAAAAATTATCATCATAGAAAAAACGAGATATACAAAAATTATCACCATGTCAGTTAATACTTAGTTGGGTAGCCTTTAGCATGAATTACAGCCTTACAAGGTCTTCCCATTGAATGAACCAAGTCTTTTAGTTCTACAGTTGTTATAATGTGAAACCAAGATTGAAGGATTGCTTCCATTAACTGGGTTTTATTGGTAGGTCGCTTCTGATTAACAGGTTTCTTTAGTCGGCTCCCTAGATTTTCAATTGGGTTAAGGTCTGGGCTATTCCCAGGCCATTCCAGCGGTGGAATATTTATTTATTTATTAATTTATTTTATTTGATTTCTATACTGCCCTACTCCCGAAGGACTCAGGGCGATGCACAGCCAAACAATAAAATACATACATACAAAATTTAAAAAGTAGAATTAAAATCAAATTAAATAGTTTTGGCCCGGACAAATTAAAACCCCAATCAATTTAAATATGATTATCTTGAAACTCCCCCCCCCCAAAAAAGTGGTGTTATTAGCCATCAAACCTCAAAAAATACACTTTTCCCAAAAGGTTTCCACAATTTTGGCCACTACTGTATGTGGCCAGCATGGCTATACTCTAAAGATGCACAAAGAGCATTTGCTATTTGGGATAGACAATCTACAGGATCTACCTCTCCATCATAAGTATGGGTTCCCATAGAACACAATGAAAGGACCGCACCCATACCTTTATTGGGATGTGGCCCACATTGTCCTCCAGAGGATGACCACGGATGAGACCACGGGCTTCAGTCAGCTCTGCACAATCGCTCGGAGGTGAGGGAGCACCATCAGAAAGGGGAGCCATGAGGGACTCCATTTCATGGGAAGTTGAAGGGATTACCGAGAGGGGTGCCGCCTGTCGGCTCCGGTGGTGGTACGCATGGCTTCCTGAAGCTTGGGAATCCAAACCAGGCATAGATTTCCTACAGAAAAGGAATGAGACAGCTCCATAGACACTGGTCCCAGGCTGATCACAAGCCTGTAAAGGAAATCATGATCTTAGTAGCAAATGCTGCTCGGAATGATGTTATTTTTCCTTGCTCAAGAACGGTGGAGATTTCCTGGAAACCAGGCAGTGGAGGAGGAGGGTAGAGATGGAGAAAATACTCAGATTGAACAGCCAAGAGGCAGATGTAGAAAGAGATAAAGATATTAGAGAGGAATACGGAAGACAGGTCAAAAAGAAAAAAAAGCATAGCAACTAAAGTACTAAAGCGGGCAAGAGACGATGGATAGATGATTTTTTGTTTTTGGTGTTGTTTTGATTTGCCTTCCTTTTCCTCTTTCTTTCCTTTTTTTTTTTTTTTGTAGGTAAGTGACATGATTAGAAGAAAATGTTTTTTTAACAAAGAATGACATGATTAAAAGTTAGAATAAGAGACAGAAATAAGAGAAAAGGGGAATATTAGTGTATACACTTTTATACAATAAAATAAGACAAATAATAAGAGAAAACATGGAATAATCGAATAATGAAAGATTGCAACTTTTTATAAATATGTATCACTATTAGAAATATATAAATTGGATTGAAAGTAATAATTATGACTAATGCTATTAGTCTTATTTGTATTAGAATATAATAAAATAAGAGTAATAATAAGAGAAAAAAAGAGAATGGTGGAGATTTGTTATGTAGTTTCTTGCAGTTTTGTTTACTCGTATTTGATGGCTTGCTGGTATTGGAAACCTCTAATCTCCAATTCTCTCTCTATCTGGTGGCCTTATACCTCCTTTACATAATAGTTACCATCATATAGAATACAGAATAACAGAGTTGGAAGGGGCCTTGGACTTCTATAGTCCAACCCACTGCTCAACCACTCTGGACAAATGGTTGTCCAGTTTCTTCTTGAAACCCTCCAGTGACCCACAAACTCTGGAGGCAAGTCGTTCCACTGATTAATTGTTCTCACTGTCAGGAAATTTCTCCTTAGTTCTAGATTGGAACTAAGTTGTTAAATCAAGACAAATCATTTCCTTGTCTTCAAGGAAAAAACCAAAGTTCAACTGCTTTTTGAAAAGCACTTAGAATGCACAGAAACGGATAGATTAACGCTCACTATAAAGGATAAAGAAGAAACTGAATATTTTTTTTTTGATATGGGATGTATTTTATCAATGGCTAGAGAACAGAAACAGATGTTAGAAAGGAGGAGATATAAAAAGAGGAAATGTTAATGTGGAAAAGAAGATGATGTTAGGTATTATTGTTATTATATTATTAATATTATTGTGATGAATACTACAACAAATATTAGTCATGGATTATGACTGTTTAAAAATTACTGTACCCAGATCACACACTGTTTGATGGAAATTGAATGTTATATAAATAAAACAAATAAAACATGAAAAAAAAAAAAAAAGCACCTTTGGGACGTGACAGAATCTAGTTTCTGCTTGGTTGCCTTGTTTTCACAGGGGGGCATTTAAAGATCCCTCCCAACATGCATCTTGATAGGGTACCGTCCAGGGGTGGGTTCTAATTTTTTTTTACTACCGGTTCTGTGAGCGTGGCTTATTTTGTGGGTGTGGCTTGGTGGGGGGGTAATGTGACTGGGTGGGCGTGGCCAACTTTTTTTTTTTTTACTTTTAAAAGCATTTTTTCTACAACCTTAAGAGGTTGCAGAAAAAAAAAATGCTTTGAAAAGCCTCTGCTGATCAGGCAACTCAGCTGGGATCGTCAGAGGCTTTTCAAAGCATTTTTTAAACCACCTCTTCGGCTGAAGAGGTTGTAGAAAAAATGCTTTGAAAAGCCTCTGACGATCCCAGCTGAGCTGCGGGATCATCAGAGGCTTTTTTTTTTTACTTTTAAAAGCATTTTTTCGCCCGAAGAGGTTGTAGAAAAAATGCTTTTAGAATTAAAAAAAAAAAAGTCTCTGATGAGGTGGGAGGGGTAAGCGAGCAGCGACCGGGCTGGGGACCAGTTCGGGGTGGCCAGCCAATGTTATTACTGGTTCTTGGAACTACTACAAATTTTTACTACCGGTTCTTGCGAACCGGTGCGAACCAGGAGCAACCTACCTCTGGTACCGTTGATTCCACACTTCCCAATTCTTTGACAACATTCACCCTTGAACCCGGGCAGAAGCCAATGGGGCAGACAAGTGGGCTCAAATGCGTTGGAGACGACATCAACCCAAGACTTACTTCAGGTAATTGTTGCGAAAGCTGGCACAGGCACAGAAGACGATGCAGAGGAGGCAGATGGCTACCGTGACTCCGGTGACAGAATGAACTAAGATATCTGCAGGTGAAGGAGAAAGGAGGACATGAAAGCAGAGAGGAAGACTTCCTACTTTCCTTCTAACAACCATCCCAGAAGGTAGGTTGGCAGATCTATCTATCTATCTATCTATCTATCTATCTATCTATCTATCTATCTATCTCTATCCATCCATCCATCTCCATCCATCCATCCATCCATCCATCCATCCATCCATCTAGAGAGAAACAGAGAGGGAGAGGCTGGTCCAAACCTTCCCCATGAACTTCTGTTGCTGAGGAAAGACCTGATCCTGAATCCCCATGATGTCAATTCCATGTCAAGATATACCACAATGGTTCTCTAAAGTGTTAAACTTCTATTCTATTTCTGTTGTGTTCTGTTCTGTTCTTCTTCTCTTCTTCCTATTCCTATTCTTATTCCTATCCCCTCTTCTAGTTCTAATTCTATTCTATTCTATTTTCCTATTCCCTTTCTATTCTATATTCCTGTCCCGTCCCGTCCCGTCCCGTCCCATTCCATTCCATTCCATTCCATTCCATTCCTACTGTTATTTTGTAATCTCTTCTCTTCTCTTCTCTTCTCTTCTCTTCTCTTCTCTTCTCTTCTCTTCTCTTCTCTTCTCTTCTCTTCCTTCTTCTCTTCCCTTCCCTTCCCTTCCCTTCCCTTCCCCTTCCCTTCCCTTTTCCCTTCTCATTCCTATTCCTACTCCCATTCTATCCCACCCCACCCCTGCCCACTCTTCTTTTTAAGGTGGCAAAAGGAACCAGCAGCCCTTACCTGTGAATCCCTCCGGCAAGGTCTGCACGTCTTTCACGCTAGAATACGGTCCTGATCCTATAACCGTCTTGGCTCCCACCTTGAAGAAATATCTGGTGTCGCTCTCCAACCCGTCAACTTCAGCGCTGAAGGTACTGCCTGAAGAAGGGAGGAATTCTGGATGTGGAATCGGATTCCAATCTTCCAGCCCCAAGGTTGCAGCTGCTTTCTTCTTCCCCAGATGACCCATGCTCCCCAAGGAAGTACACACGGAGGAGCTCAAAAAAGTAATGCCCATAAAAATAATAATAGAATAATACTGTTGGAAGGGACCTTGGAGGTCTTCTAGTCCAACCGCCTGCTTAGGCAGGATACCCTACACCACTTCAGACAAATGATTATCCAATCTATTTTAAAAACTTCCAGTGTTGGAGCCTTCACAACTTCTAGAGGCAAGTTGTTCCACTGGTTAAATTGTTCTCACTGTCAGGAAGTTTCTCCTTAGCTCTAAAGTGCTTCTCTTCTTAATTAGTTTCCACCCATTGCTTCTTGTCCTGCCCTCAGGTGCTTTGGAGAATAGCTTGACTCCCTCTTCTTTGGGACAGCCTCTTGAGATATTGGAAGACTTCTATCATATCTCCCCTAGTCCTTCTTTTCATTAAACTTGACATACCCAATTTCTGCAACCGTTCTTCATATGTTTTAGCCTTCAGCCCCCTAATCATCCTTGTTGCTGTTGCTGGCTGGGGAATTCTTGGAGTTAAAGTCCACAAGTCATGCTACTATTTTGTCACCCCTAGTCCTTTGTTTGTTTGTTTTTTTATTGAACTTAAACAAAGTAAACTTTGATCACAGGATTGTGGCCAACATTTTGAATTTTGGATCCCACCCCCTCCTTTTGCAGACAACTCTGGATGTTTTTGTGCATTTGCAGACTCAGTGCTTCTTACCAGTGGTGAAATCCAATTTTTTTTACTACCAGTTCTGTAGGCGTGGCTTGTGGGGGCGTGGCATGGCTTGGTGGGTGTGACTTGGTCGGCATGGCAAGGGAAGGATATTGCAAAATCCCCATTCCCACCCCACTCTCTGGCCAGCCAGAGGTGGTATTTCCAAGTTCTCCGAACTACTCAAAATTTCCGCTACCGTTCTCCGGAACCTGCTGGATTTCACCCCTGCTTCTTACCCTCTTTGGTCAACAGAGTCCACATCTCATCCGGCTGGGTGCAGTTGGCGTTGTAGAGGATGACATATTCCACGATAATGCCATTTGGTTCCAGGGGGGGACACCAGTGAAGCTGGACCGCGTATGGGTTGATGGGGTGTAACCGCAGGTCAGAAGGGGGAGTGGAGGGCCCTGCAGGAGAACAGCAGAGGCAGCAGGAGACAGAAAGCAAGCATAAGGTGATCTGGATGAGCCTCTGAAACTCTTCCCGCCCCAGGTTCCCTGATAAGTCAAATCAAATCAAATCCAGTCCTAAGGCCAGATATAAACAAAGATAAAATAAAAGTATTGTATCCATATCCATATCCATATCCATATCCATATCCATATCCATATCTATCCTATATCCATATCCTTATCCAGTCTGTCTGTCTGTCTGTCTGTCTGTCTGTCTATCTATCTATCTATCTATCTATCTATCTATCTATCTATCTATCTTTCTGTTCGTCCATCCATCCATCCGTCTGTCTATCACCGTGATGGCGAAGCTATAGCATGCATGCCAGTGGTGGGTTTCAAAATTTTTTACTACCGGTTCTGTGGGTGTGGCTTGATGGGTGTGGCAGGGGAAGGATACTGTAAAATCCCCATTTCCTCCCGATCAGCTGGGACTTGGGAGGCAGAGAATAGATGGGGGCGGGGCCAGTCAGAATTTTTACTACCGGTTCTCCAAACTAGCAAAATTTCTGCTACCGGTTCTCCAGAATTGGTCAGAACCTGCTGAAACCCACCTCTGACGCATGCCCAAAGTGGCACACGAAGCCATGTCGCCCGGCATGCGTGCCTTCCCTGTTTGTCTTCTGGTTTCTGGCGCATATGCGCTTGCGGTGATCAGCTGTCATTCGCGCATGCAGCAGTCCCAAAAACCAGCCTGTGCGTGCACGCTGGCCAGCTGATTGTTGCGCACGCATGCACTGTAGAACCCGGAAGTTCGGCTTTTCCAGAGCACAATCCCTTTGCTCGTGTGGCAGTGCCGAAAACCAGCCTGCGCATGCACGCCGGCCAGCTGTTCTTTGGCGTGCATGTGCTCTAGAACCCGGAACTTCAGCTTTTCTGGAGCGTGACCCTGACACTCAGTGCTGAAAAGGTTTGCCGTCCCTGCTCTTTCATCTACCTATCATCTGTCTAAATAAATAAAGACAACCAGAGAGAGAGAGAGAGAGAGAGAGAGAGAGAGAAGAGAGAGAGAGAGAGAGAGAGAGAGAGAGAGAGAGAGAGAGAGAGAGAGAGTGTTTCTTTTCCTTCATTTGGAAAGAATTTTTTAACAATCTGCTCAAGCTCTCATTTTTATAGGTCCAATTTTAACTGGTTTTATCCGTACTAGCTACTGTTGTGGGTATTTGGATATAGAAAAGGCTTACATATAAACTTGTTGAAACGGGTGACTGTAGAAATAATAAATAATAAATTAAATTAAATAAATTAAATTAAATTAAATTAATAATAAAATTACATTAACTCAAAAAATTAAATAAGTAATAAATTAAATAATAAAATTAAATAATGAAATGAAACGAAATAAAATAAACAAAAAACAAAATAAATGAAATAATAAAATGAAATAAATAATAAATAACATAACATAAAATAATGAAATAATAAAATGAAATAAAATAAATAATAAAAATAAAATAAATAATAAATAAATAATAAAATAAAAATAAAAATAAAAAATAAAATAAAAATAAAAATAAAATAAAATAAAATAAAATAATAAAATAAAATAAAATAATAAATAAAATAAAATAAAATAAAAAATAAAATAAAATAAAAAAAAATAAAATAAAATAAAATAATAAAATAAAAAAAATAAAATAAAATAAAATAAAATAAAATAAAATAAAATAATAAAATAAAATAATAAAAAAAATAAAATAAAATAAAATAAAATAAAATAAAATCTAGAATATTCTGGTGTTTTTTTTAAAGGTCATCTTTTCTGCCGTACCAGAATTAAGTTCCTCCTTCTTATCCCCATCCCATCCCATCCCATTGTCAGGGAACATTTCATGCTGCTCTACTTACTATCTGGGAGGGTGAAACACTCCACCGCATTTCCAAACGGACTATCCATTCCGACACCGTTGGACTGCACCGCAAACTCGTATCTTGTGAATGGTTTCAGTCCGCTGATCAGAACATTCTCTTTAGAGCTATAGAGAAGAAGAATAAATTCCCACAAGTGGATGAACCCAGGATCACGCAAACAGGTGTCCTACAAAGACTGGCAAGATTTCGGCAGCCTTTGACTGGTAGAATCATAGAATGATAGAAATTTGGGGCTGGAAGGCAAAAGGAATGTCTCGGTAGCCAATATGAGCCTTTACCCGCTTCCGGTTTAGCCTTTTGTTTTATCTAAAGCAGTTAAAAACAGATTAAAATCTGGTGGGTCAGAAAATCTGACAACTACCCAAAGCTATTTCTCTGGGTTGATCAAGATTGAAGTTTAACAGAGACAAGTTTAACAGATTAACGGAGTTGGAAGGGACCTTGTAGGTCATCTAGTCTAACCCCCCCCAATCTCCACCCAAGCAGGAGACCCTACACAAATCTCAAAACAGCTCAGAAAACTAAAGACTGTAATATAAAGGCAACTGGGCTTTGTTTTTTCCTTGAAGATGTTTCACTTCTCATCCCAGAAGCATCTTCAGAACTGAAGAAGCTTCTTGGGTGGGAAGTGAAATGTCTTCAAGGAAAAACAAAGTCCAGTTACCTCTTGAAAAAAAAAGCACCTTTGGGACAACCATGACCTGGATGACTGAGAATCTCCATAGACAGTGTAATATGAAGGATAAAACATAAATGCTCCTCACTAGATGATCTGAATGGTTCCAATAAGAAAAAGTCTATTTTTAAGTCTTTGGTAAGAAAAGCTGTTATGATCTAGGCTTCCTGAGTCATTAAAACACACAAGTAGTCCCAAAAAACACTTTTATTGCAACAGCTGTGATTACGTTCATTCACAGCTGAGTCCCAATTAGTTGCAAAAAGCCCTTCGGGAGAAGTCCTTTGGGATAATCACCAAACTTTAACTCCCTTGACACTCTGACAAAGATCTACTTGGCAAAGCCACACGGAGTCCAGAATCAAACAGAGATGCCGACTGGGAACAGAATTAACAACGTTGCTTTCCTGCAAAGAGCCCACATGCCTTTGCTCCTCTTTTAAGCCTTATGTGAGGGGCCAATCATCTCCATTACTCACAAGTTGTCCTTTTTGTTTTAGCTGTTCTTGCCTTTTGGCAGCTCTGCGCATGCACGCACTAGGAATAGGCTCCTCCTGTTCCTCTGCCTCTCTGCTGTCCGATTCTGGAGGCTCTGGAGTCCGCATCACTCCCAGATGGCCCTGGCCCCATCTCTGCCTCCGATGCAGAGCCCTTGTCCGGGCCTTCTCCAGACTCCAGGACTGGCCCATGGTCCTCCCCAGCCTCCTCACTGTCCAACTCTGCTGCTAGCTCCGTAGGCTGCTGGTGGACCACAGCAAAAGCCCCCACATTAATTCTGCTTGGAACTGTCCACCACACAACTATGACAGCACATGCCTCATGATTTCATTTGCACAAGGCACCACAATCCTTGTGACGTCACGTACTCTCCTACCTTGTGTAATACATCACAAGCGAGGCATTCTTTAACCCCCAAGGGCTGAATCGCACTGTGTAGTTGACGATCTTCACGGTGGTGAAGTTGGGTTTCTTCCACCGCAGCCAAATCGTTGTGGAACTATTGGAATCAACGTGGAGATGCCCAGGAGGTGGTGGGGGACCTTTATGAACTGGAAGATCTGAGAAGATAAGCACGGAAAGGAAGGGGGGAGGAGGAGGAGGAAGAAGAGGTGAAGGATTAGGAGAAGGAAGAGGAAGAAGAGGAGGATTAGGAAAAGGAGAAGAAGAAGGAAGAGGAGGAGGAGAAGGAAAAGGAGGAGGAGGAGGAGAAGGAGGAGGAGGAGGAAGTGGAGGAAGAGGAAGAGGAGGATTAGGAGAAGGAGAAGGAGAAGAAGAAGAAGAAGGAAGAGGAGGAGGAGAAGGAGAAGGAAAGAGGAGAGAGAAGGAGAAGGAGAAGGAGAAGAAGAAGAAGAAGAAGAAGAAGAAGAGAAGAAGAAGAAGAAGAAGAAGAAGAAGAAGAAGAAGAAGAAGAAGGAAGGAGGAGGAGGAGGAAAAGGAGGAGGAGGAGAAGAAGAAGGAGGGGAAAGAAGAAGAGGAGAAGGATTAGGAGAAGGAAGAGGAGGAAGAAGAGGAAGTGGAGGAGGAGGAAGAGGAGGATTAGGAGAAGGAGAAGAAGAAGGCGGAGGAGGAGAAGGAGAAGGATTAGGAGAAGGAAGAGGAGGAAGTGGAGGAAGAGGAAGAGGAGGATTAAGAGAAGGAGAAGAAGAAGAAGATAGAAAGAATATATCTGAAGTATTAAGTGTGGAAGGACTAGTATCAGTAACAGCTGTTGCTTGCATGGCTAGGTTTCCTGTCACAGGGCTCTACACATCAAATGCTCCGTGGATTCTTTGGAGTTCAGAGAAACAACATTGTGGGAACTCTCACAAAACAGAAGTTGTCAAGAGAATGGCCATTCCCACCTACAAAATGGTGGCCATGTTTTTCCCAGGCAACCATAAAGTACTTATTTTCAGAACCCCAAGTGTGGCTAAACGAGCCAATCCAAAGGTCTAACTACAGGTAGCCCTCGACTTACAACTGCTCACTCAGTGACCGTTCGAAGTTACAACAGCATTGAACAATGTGACTGAGGACCACCTTTCACACTTAATGACCGTTTGCAGCATACCCACGGTTACGTGATTTATATCTGGATGCTTGACAACTGACTCACATTTGTGACGGTTGCAATGTCCCCGGGGTCACGTGATCCCCCTTTTGCGACTCTCTGACAAGCAAAGTCAATGGGGGAAGCCAGATTCACTTAACAACCGTGTTACCCATTGAAGAACTGCAGGGATTCATTTAACGAACGTGGCGAGAAAAGTCGTGAAATGGGGCAAAACTCATTTCTCATGTAGCAAGCTGAATTTGGGGCTCAATTGTGGTCGTAAATTGAGAATTACTGCTAATAACAAAAAGGTTAATAACTACTAATAATTACTGCTAATAACCCCATGTTAAGCTTATGTTTGAAGCAGTTGCAATTTTTTTAACAAAAAAAAAAAATTCAACAGTTAAAAGAGAAGATACCTACCAGCTGCGGTGACAGGTGCTCGCTCCGTCCTGCCTTTCCACACGGCTGCGTAGCCCTCTTCATGCTTGTTGAAAGCCACCAGCCTGATTTCATAAAGCTGTCCAGGAACTGGACAGAGTAAAACAGAGATGCGATTACTAAACAAAATGCCAAAAAGAGGCAAAACCCAGATTTTTTTTTTTAGTTTAGCTGAACTCTGGCGTTCTGCCACCCTGCTTGTTAGAAATGACAAAAGTGCATCAGATCTGGAACCTGGGAAATGGTAGTTTGATTTGGACAAGAGCCTGTAGTACAGTGGACTAAAGCACTGTTATTAACATCTGCTGCTTGCAATTACTGCAAGTTCAAATCTCACCAGGCTCAAGGTTGACTCAGCCTTCCATCCTTTCAAAGGTAGGTAAAATGAGGACCCAGTTTGTGGGGGCAATAAGCTGACTTTGTATAAATATACAAAAGTATGAAGGCTATTGCTTAACGCATTGTAAGCCGCCCTGAGTCTCCGGAGAAGGGCAGCATATAAATTAAAAGCAAAAAAAAAAAAATAAATAAATCTGATGTCCCAAAACTATCCCAGTTTCACCTAAATTTTGATGGTAGCAGATTCAGTGGTGGGTTGCTACTGGTTCTCCCCGGTTCTTGCGAACCAGTAGTGGAAATTTTGAGTAGTTTGGAGAACCGGTAAATACCACCTCTGCCTGGTCCCGCCCCCAATCTATTCACTGCCTCCTGCGTCCCAGCTGATCGTCTAGAAGGAAAAAAATGAGGGCTCACTTGACAAAGAAGAGGGGGAAAAAAAAAACAAGACACTGTAGCTTTAAATTGAGAAGCCAAGAAGCCTCCAAATGAATTGGCTAGAACTGATCCGCTCCTTGTAAACCGCTCGGTGGTGGTAGATTGGCAATTGAGGCCAAGCTGCCTGAAAGTGGTTTCCGATGCTCTCATGGTGGCAGAGAGGCAAAAAATTGTTTAAACTCTTGCCTTAGTGCTTCAAAGGGCCGCCCTACAGCTGATCAGCAGTAAAAGGCAGTGTGGTGGTAGACCAGTGTGCTCCAAAAACAAACAGGTAGACCGGTACAGCTCTGCAAGCAGTTAAAAGCCTGGTAGACCAGAGCCTTGGTAGTACAGTGGTTTAATGCACCCTGTTATTAACACAGCTGCCTGCAATTTCTGCAGGTTCGAATCTCACCAGGCTCAAGGTTGACTCAGCCTTCCATCCTTTCTAAGGTAGGTTAAATGAGGACCCAGTTTGTGGGGGCAATAAGCTGACTTTGTATAAATATACAAAAGGATGAAGGCTATTGCTTAACGCATTGTAAGCCGCCCTGAGTCTCCGGAGAAGGGCGGCATATAAATCAAAATTAAAAAATTAAAAAAAGTACTTCTGCTAAATCCTAAAGAATTGCTTGTCACATGACCCTCAAACCACGCCCAGAAAATAAGCCACACCCATAGAACTGGTAGTAAAATTTTTTAGAATCCACCCCTGAGTAGATTCCCTACGCAGCCAAGTCATAAAAACATAGAAAAGTGGAGTTGGTAGAGACCTGAAGTATCACCGGCCTTTTGCTATATGCAGGAAAACCAAGTACAGATAATTTTCCACTTACGACGGTCATTTACTGACTGTTCAAAGTTACGACGGCACTGACGAAAGTGACCTATGACCCTTTTTCACAGTTACAACCTTTGTAGTATCCCCGTGATCAGGTGATCAAAATTTAGATGCTGGGCAACTGGTTCATACTTGTGACCGCTGCTGTGTCCCAAGGTTTTGTGATCCCCTTTTGCGACCTTTTGATAAGCAAAGTTAACGGAGAAGCCAGATTCACTTCACAACCAGGTTACTAACTTATCAACCTCAATGATTTACTTAACTGTGGTGAGAGAGTTCATTAAATGGGGCAAAAACTTCACTTAACAAAGGTTTCACTTAACCGCATAAATTTTACGGTCGATTGTGGTCAAAAGTCGAGGACTACCTCTACACCTATTCTTAAGATGCCTACGGAGATTCTCAGTTATCCAGCTTATGGTTGTCTCAAAGGTGCTTTTTCAAAAGGCAACTAGACTTCCTTTGATTTTTTTCCCCATGAAGATGTTTCGCTTCTCATCCAAAAAGCTTCATTGGTTCTGGCAGGGTGGTGATGGGGACGGAAAGATCAAGTTTCTTTGCAGTCCTCTGGTCGTTAGCAGTCTCTCTGAGAGCTCTTGAGGCCACTTGGGGATTTATCTGTGCCCTCAGGGCCACCTGAATCAGAGTGCAAATGGGTGCAGAACCTTCTCGGAACTGCTGAAAGCACTGTGTTGGAGACAGGAGATAGGCAGTATCGTACTCTACTCTCTCTGTTGAGAGAGGGCTACTCAGGGGTGGGCTTCCAAAATTTTAGCATGGGGTTCTCTGCCCAGTTGCTGGGTGGGCGTGGCCATGGTGGGCATGTCCTAATCAGCTTCCTGCACCAGGGTGGGGGGCGTTTTTGCCCTTCCCGGGCTCTGGAGGCTTTTCTTGAGCCTCCAGGAGGGCGAAAACGGCCTCCCCAGGTTCCAGAGGCCCTCTGGAGGCTAGAAACGGCCTTCCTGGACTTCCAGTAGGCCCGTTTTTCACCCTCCCTGAGCCTCCACACACACACTTACCTGCATCCAAAACAGGCCATGTAGGGACTCCTGGGAGGGGCAGGATGGGCGGGGCGGGGCCAGCCAGGAGTGGGATTCGAGGGTTCTTCAAACTGCACAGAATCTTAGCTAGAGGTTCTCCCGAACCCCTGCGAACCCCCAGCAGCCCAGTCCTGCCTCAATGGGAAGCGAGTTGGTGTTCCCTAATTGTGGGTCAATGGTGCGAAAGGCCACCCCACGCTCTCCTCCAAAAGCAGAGAGCCCGAAGTAGGTCATTGAAACGGCTCGATTGCCTGCTGCCAATGTAGAAATGGGGCAAGCTTTTTTTTCTTTCTTTTTTTCCCCCCACTTTCTTAATCCAATTAAATAATTGCACGAGGCCGGTGCACCACTGCAGGTGGCCCAAGGCAACTTCCCCTCCCCAGGCCAGTTCAAAAGGAGCTTGGCAAGTGAACGGAGGGGGTGGATCCGGCAACTGCCAACTCGGGCCGATTCTTGCAATGGACAGCCAAAAGACAGGCCGTTTCTGCCTTTGGCTGGCTCTTCTCTTCTCTCTTTTTCGCTGCCTTGTTGAACGATATTCTTTAAAAACTGTCCCATAACTCAATTTCCCCTCCTTTTTATTTTCTCTTCTCTTCTCTTCTCTTCTCTTCTCTTCTCTTCTCTTCTCTTCTCTTCTCTTCTCTTCTCTTCTCTTCTCTTCTCTCTTTTTTTTTATTTGATTTTTATTATAACATATAGTGATACATTCGGTACATTTTCGGTTCATTGGTGCAATTATATACATATATACATCTACATGAATTATTACTTGTCTTTTATTTGATATTGTTTCTTCGTATAAATCTTTCGCCTTTTTCTTCTCTTCTCTCATTCTCATCTCTTCTCTTCTCTTCTCTTCTTCTCTTCTCTTCTCTTCTCTTCCCTTCCCTTCCCTTCCCTTCCCCTCCCCCCTCTCTCTCTCTCTCTCTTTTACGAATGTACTTATTCAGGACGGGGTGGAATGGCTCAGAGTTTACAAATAGAAAGAAAATGGGGCAATTCTCCTTTGGAGCACCCGGCCGCTCCTTCCCAAATGATCTTCCCCTCTACGTCTCCTCATTAGCTTCCCCAATGAAGCCTTGCTAATTAAGGAGGGCTCTATTCACTGCCTGTGGTTGAATGGTGCCAACTCTTTTTCAGTTCCACAAAGCAGCCTGCAAACGCCCTCTTTGAGCGCTGCCAAGGGCATCCCTCTTGCTTTGACTATATTGTGGGCAGGGTGGACGGGGGCGAGGGGGGGGCAGGCGGGCGGCTGGCTTCCAGCTCGCCTTCCCTACCAGGAAAAAAAAAAGAAAAAAAGCACAAGATGGAGTAGGAGGATCAAAAGGTCCAGCCACATTTGCATCTGGAAGAGAAATCGTGTTTAAACAGCTCTTCTCTGCTGGCTCTGCGGATCGAGAGACGGTTTTTTTGTGGGCTCTAAAATAAGGTTGGCAGCCGCAAGAACGGAAGGACAAAGGGAGAAATGGGCGGCGGGGGGGGGTGTCTTTTGGGGAAGGGCCGAGAGGGAGATCCAGAACTGTCCAGAGGGTTAAATTAAAAAAGATAAATCCTAAATTTTTCCTCCATGCAAGGGATAAAAGGATTTAGCCTGGCTAGGTGGCTCAGTGGCTAAGACACTGAGCTTGTTGATCAGAAAGTTCGGCAGTTCGGCGGTTTTGAATCCCTAGTATAGGTCTCCTGAGTGAGCAGGGGGTTGGACTAGATGACCTCCAAGGTCCCCTCTAACTCTGTTACTGTGACTATTAAAATGTGTGCCCTGATATCATGATGAAAATCCCACCCCTTGGGTCCCTACAGGTGGTTGGTTGGTTATTATTTATTTAATTTATTTATTTATTAGTTTGATTTATATGCTGCCCTTCTACGGAGACTCAGGGCGGCTTACAATGCATTAAGCAATAGCCGTCATACTTTTATATATACCTGCTTAGTAGGGCTTTCGCCCCCCCCCCCACAGCGGTATTCTTTTTTTATACAAAGTCAGCTTATTGCCCCCACAACCTGGGTCCTCATTTTACCTACCTTGGAAGGATGGAAGGCTGAGTCAACCTTGAGCCTGGTGAGATTTGAACTCACAGTAATTGCAGGCAGCTGGCAGCTAAGTGCTACTTAACAGCACTTTAGTCTGCTGCGCCACCAAGGTTGGTTTCTTGCTTGCTTGCTTATTGATTCATTGATTCATTGATTCATTGATTCATTGATTCATTGATTCATTGGTTCATTGATTGATTGATTGATTGATTGATTGATTGATTGATTCATTCATTGATTCATTCATTCATTCATTCACTCACTCATTCATTCATACAAAGTGTAGAGAAGAGCAACTAGAATGATTAAAGGCCCAGAGGCGAAAACATATGAAGAACAGTTGCAGGAATTGGGTATGGCTAGTCTAGAGAAAAGGAGGACCAGGGGTGGGGGACATGATAGCAGTGTTCCAGTATTTGAGGGGCTGCCATAAAGAAGAGGGAGTCAACTTAATTTCCAAAGCACTGGAGGGCAGGACAAGAAACAATGGATGGAAATTAATCAAGGAGAGAAAGCAACCTGGAATTCAGGAGAAACTTCCTAACAGTGAGGATAATTAACTAGTGGAACATCTTGCCTTCAGAGGTCGTAGGGGCTTCATCAACTGGAGGGTTTTTTTTTTAAAGAAAAGACCGGACATCCATCTATCTGAAATGGTCTAGGGCAGTGTTTCTCAACCTTGGAAGCTTGAAGATGGGCGGACTTCAACTCCCAGAAACCCCCAGCCAGCAGCGCTGGCTGGGGGATTCTGGGAGTTGAAGTCCGCCCATCTTCAAGCTACCAAGGTTGAGAAACACTGGTCTAGGGTCTCCTGCTTGAGCAAGGGTTGGACTAGAAGACCTCCAAGGTCCCTTCCGAGCTCTATTCCGAATTGTTTTGAATTGTTCCAAAAGGCAATTTTGGATCTGGCAAGAAAAGTCATAAAATGGAGCAAAACTCAATTAACACATTTCTGACTGAGCAACATACATTTTGGCCTCAATTGAGGTTGTAAATCAAGGACTGTCGGCACATCACATGGATCTCTTCTCCTCATAAACAGACCGAAACCGATCAATCCGAAAATCACCAGTTCATTTTGATCCCTTTTCAGCGAATGGCCCATCCGCCGTCGTAGAGCGCTCTTCCTGAAAGCTTACCTACCTAATTGTCTCAGCTCGTGTTGTTTCACTTTCTTCTTCAGTTTTACGGGTCCGACATCCCGAAGACGGCCTTCCGAAGGGATCTCCCTGCTTGACTCCTCGGTGGGTATTTCCCGATAATACAGCTTGTAGCCTGAAATTTGTCCGTGGTTAGGTGGAGGCTGCCAGCTTACCAACAGCGAGTCCATTTTGGCTTGGACCATCAACTCAGTTGGGGCAAAGAGAACTAGGAAAAAAAGGGAGAGCAGAGTCATGAGACACAATGAGAAGTAGTCTCAAATTCATCTACATCTCCATAACGTTTCCCTATCCTTTCCTTCTCAAATTTGCCCACAGTAGTGGCCAAAATTGTGGAAACCCTTTGGGAAAAGTGTATTTTTGAGGTTTGATGGCTAATAACACCACTTTTTTGGGGGGGAGTTTCAACATAATCCTATTCCACTGCTGGAATGGCCTGGGAATAGCCCAGACCAGTGGTGAAATCCAATTTTTTTTTTACTACCGTTTCTGTGGGCGTGGCTTGGTGGGCTTGGCATGGGAAGGATACTGCAAAATCTCCATTCCCACCCCACTCCAGGGAGAAGGATACTGCAAAATCTCCATTCCCACCCCACTCCAGGGAGAAGGATATTGCAAAATCTCCATTCCTTCCCCACTCTGGGGCCAGCCAGATGTGCCATTTGCCGGTTCTCCAAACCACTCAAAATTTCCGCTACCAGTTGTCCAGAACCTGTCAGAACCTGCTGGATTTCATCCCTGGCCCAGACCTTAACCCAATTGAAAATCTATGAGCTGACTAAAGAAACTGGTTAGTCAGAACCAACCCAGCAATAAAACCCAGTTAATAGAAGCAACCATTCAATCTTGGTTTCACATTAGAACAGCTGCAGAACTAAAAGACTTGGTTCGCTCAATGGGAAGATGTTGTAAGGCCGCTAAAGCTTACCCAACGGAGTATTAACTGACATGGTGATCATGTTTGTATATCTCATTTTTTCTATGGATAATTTTTGTATATCTCATGATTTTTTCTACGTGTTTCACTTTTCTTCTTTATACTGTAACTGCTATTCTTTTTTTTTGTTTTAAAAACAAACTTTATTAGATTTAAAAAAAATAAAATTGTATAAAACATTCACAACCTTAAAATACAATCAACAGTATCAACAAACAACAAAGTATATATAATGTATATAAGTACACATATATACTTGTTTAATGTTTAAGCATTCCTAACAAAAAATTTCTGGTTCTAATTCAATATCCTCCGCAATTATTTCTGATATCCAAATTTAACTGCTATTATGTATAATATGTAACTGCTATTCTAATAGCAAATCCTTCATAAAAGTTATTGCATTACATTCTTGATTCAATTATCTTTCCACTGATATATAATTTTTGGTACTACTCCCCCCCAAAAAATAGTGTTATTAGCTAGTTTTAGAAAAATACACTTTTCCCAAAAGGTTTCCACGATTTTGGCCACTACTGTAAATCAAACTGAATTACAGTACAGGGCAGTCCTAGTACCACTTAGTGGTCCATTTAGTGATTGTTCAAAGTTTCAATGGCCCTGAAAAAAAGGGAGTTACGACCAATTTTTCACACTTACGACCTCAGCAGCATCCTCACTGTCACGTGATCAAAATTCAGATGCTTGGCAGCCTATTCATCTTTATGACAGTTGCAGTGTCCTGGGAACACTGTTTTGTGACCTTCCGGCTGGATTCGCTGAACAACCGGGTTGCTAACTTATCGACCTCAGTGATTCACTTAACAACGGTGGCAAGGAAACAACGTAAAATGGGGCAAAACTCACTTAACAAATGTTTCATTTCACAATTTTGGGCTCGATTGTGGCCATACGTCGAGGATTACCTGTAGACCGCACCGGTGGCCATCAATGATGTCGAAATGGCAGATATGATTGGGTAGTGTGTGATGAACATTAAAAGGTGGGCTTTGATGACCTGGACGCGCCCACCATTTTGACATTGAAGATGACTTCTGTCGATGTCCTTGGAACCCACCAGCTGAATAAGATGATTTTCTCCTTCCCTTGCTCAAATCCTGATCCAGGGGTGGGTTCTAATTTTTTTTACTACCAATTCTGTGGGCGTGGCTTATTTTGTGGGCGTGGTTTGATGGTCATGTGACAATTCTTTAGGATTTAGCAGAGGTACTGGTCTACCAGGCTTTTCACTGCTTGCAGAGCTGTACCGGTCTACCCATTTGTTTTTGAAGGCACTGGTCTACCCATTTATTTTTCGAGCCCACTGGTCTATCACCACATTGCCTTTTAACACTGATCAGCTGTAGGGTGGCCTTTTGAAGCACCTTGGCAAAAGTTTAAATAGTTGTTTTCCTTCTAGCTGATCAGCTGGGACTTGGGAGGCAGCAAATAGATTGGGGGCAGGGCCAAATAAAAGGTAAGAATAACGCGGGGGGTGGGAGGGCCCAGCTCCTGAACAAAGAGAACCGGTTCGGTGACATCATATTGTCACCGCTACTGGCTCGGCCGAACCGGGCCGAACCGGGAGGAACCCACTACTGTCCTGATCCATTTCATATTTCCCCCTTCTTCTACTGAAAACACCGTTCTCTTAACGGAGTCACTGCTTCGGTCCAAATTGCTCCCCTTTGCTTCCAACCCTGCAGACAACTTGAGAGCCAGGTCCATCTCTTATTTCTGTTGACGCTGCTGGGTCAAACTCGGAAGGATTCTGAGGTAAAACAAGAGGGCCGCTCACCATGGGTTTGGTTGTCCCGATCTGGAGTGCGGTGCTGAGTCCATTCTGATGGAGCCCCATAGCCCGCACTGGTGCTTGCTGCAATCCGAACTTTGTAGATTTTGTTTGGCTGCAACCCGTAAAGCACCAGCTGGGTTTCATTCCCACTGAGCTCCGTTGAAGAAATCAGGTCTGAGAAGGAGAAAACGAGCCCAAAGATTATTGATGTAATGAAAAAAGGGCGTATCAAATAGATCAGGGGTGTCAAACTCAATTTCATTGAGGGCCACATCAGGGTTGTGTTTGATCTCAGGGGCCAGGGTGAGTGTGGCCAGCTCAATGTCATTTGTGTTGGGGGCTCCTGTGGCAGCCCGAGCGCTCTGCCTGTCAGATCCCTAAAAGTGATACTGCCAGTCAACTGGGAGAAGGGGGAGACTTGGATTCGATTTACTAGCATTGCCTGTGTCAACAGATATTTTACACCCTTTATCCTGGCACCAAAGAGCCCTGAGATCCTCTTTACGTGGAGGAATGTTTATGATAGCCATGTGGGTTGTTTCACTTTAAAGGATAATGGTGGGAATGCATGTTTGTTTGGGTTCACACTTGTGTATTGGCTAAAATCTGCATTCTGATTTAAAGGGAGGGGTCTCTATCGCTCTAATCCTACTTGTCTTGCCTAAGGGTATTCAGATCTTGCTTTAACTGGGTTGCTATCACTTCTGCTTAATAAAAGGATCCTTTTGAACTATCATGTTTCAAGAGTCTTTACTTTCTTAAATTAAGGAGAGGCAATCATTATACTGCCAGCAAAAACAGCCCTGTTTTTGGCTGTGACAGGTTCCTGCAACCCTCTGTCAGTGAAAATGGAGCTCGGGAGGATCACACATGGCCCTCCTGAACTCTGTTTTCGCTGGCAGAGGCACCGCAGGTTGGTTCTTTGCTATTTCCAGGGTGGCCCTGCGGGCCAGATCTAAGCACCCCATGGGTCGGATCTGGCCCCCAGGCCTTGAGTTTGACACCCCTGAAATAGATTGAATCTTGAATTCTTAAACTCACACTTCATTTGTCTAATCCAGAGTTCCCCAACCTTTCCAGGTTGATGGCCCGGAGCGAGGGTGGGTGGGTGGGAGGGGGGAAAGAAGGGATGGTTTAGTGGGAGGGGCACGTGTGTGAGCACTTGTTGCTTGTGCAAGTGGGGCCATGAGCACCTGCAATGCTCGCACCAGTGGGGCTGTGTGCACGGATGCACCAGCCGGCCATTCAAGTGGCCTGGTTGAGAATAGATCCATGGACTGGTAATTGGCTGTGGTGCCACAGGTTGGGGACCCCTGGTCAAATCCACCCTGCATCTTAAGGCAATGGACTGATTTATCCCTAAAGTACAACCCCAGACATAAAGAAGCTTCAAGTGAAGCACATCTAAATGTTGACATCTCAACACTCTGGAATCCACTCATTCTTCAAACCTCAATCACCCTAACCCAGTCTTTGTGGGTTTAGGGTGAAGATGGCAGCTATGATGGTGATACTGAAGGCACAAACCAGTGGTGAAATCCTCGGTGGATTGCCACCAGTTTGCTGCCTGCGCATGCATGGTGCATGCCAAACACGCGCTGCATGGTGCATGCACACTGCATACCAAAAGCATGCGGCCCGCGCATGCGCAATGTGCGCCAAATGCACGCTTCGCGTGGAAAAAGAAGGCTTAATAAGGTAAGTAGAACAGTGAGTGGGGAGGAACAGCTGTCTAGCGAATATAAATCACGCGGCACAGCTGATTGTCGGAAATACCAGTTCAGACAAACTGGTAGCCTTTTTTTACTACCGGTTCTCCCGAACCAGTGCGAACCGGTAGCATTTCACCCCTGGAACAAATGTATGAAATCGTCAAGGCTTTGCTCACACCGTTGTGATTGCCCCACTGATTTCTTTGATCCCTTTTGATCCCTTTTTTGATCGTGTGGACACTGGGAAGAGAGGATTGTTCCAGAGCAGTGCTTCTTAAACTTTTTTTCTTCCCTTCCCACTTTTAAAAAAATAGGTAGGATTCCATCATTTTGTTTGTATGGGTTATACTGATCAGTATTTAATGTATTAAAAACATTGAATTATACTGTGACATAGCATGGCAAATAATTTTGATTTCACAGGTCCTGAGGTGGGTCTTGAGGAACCCAGGGAGTCCCTGGACCACACTTTGAAAAACAATCTTTTCAAACAAGTTTGGAGAATGGGGGTCTCCAAACTTGGCAACTTTAAGACTTGTGGACTTTAGCAGAGCTGGCTGGGGGACTCTGGGAGTTGAAGTCCACAAGTCTTAAAGTTGCCAAGTTTGGAATGTTCTAGAGTGTCAATAACCAACCATTCTATATCATAAGGCCCTCAGACCTCCTCTTTCTCACCTTCCTTGAGAGAAGCATACTCAATTTTGTACTTGACAATTTTTCCGTTGCTCAGTTCTGAAGGGAGAGGCTGCCATGTTGCCTTGATGTCAGTCGGAGTTATACTGGACAGGGAAATCTGAGGGGCTCCACCAGGAACTGGAAGAGACCAATAAAAGAGATCATGTCACCTCAAAAGGACCATCAGAGTTACAGCGATTCTGGCTGAGAAGATATATTTCAACTTGGAGGGCTGTGTCCATCCAGGGATATGTTCCGCGGTTAGCCTAATTTCTCTGGCAGATTAAAGAATTCTGGATAGTTTCCTTGCCTGCACTAGTTAGATGACACAACTGGTGTCAGCATTCAAATGCTGCCATAAAGAGACTGAGAAGAGGCTTGACTTCTCACCTAGTTATTTTCTCTGTAGATAATGTCTCTGAGGAGATGGGATGGGAGGGGGACATTCCTGGAGTTGGAGGCTGGAGCTGGGAAGATTGATTTGGAAGATGGCCAATAAGAAGATGAGAATTGGGGAACAGAAAGGGAAGGTTTTGGGGGTCAAAGGCTTAGTATCGGCTACGCAGAGTCAGTAGCAGATTGTTGTTCTCAATAAATGGAATATTTCAGCAAAGATTAATTGTCTGGGGGTACAATTTATTTGAGATGACATCGAAACCTGACAACTGGTACTCTATCATGTCCATTCCACATATTTGTTACATTTTTGGAGAGGATAAAATACAACACATTTTTTTAGAGTACACAATTACGATGTGAAACTATCATCATCTTCTTTTAACAACCCCATAATCCCTTACGGGGTGGAGTCTGGGCAACTGAATGGAGCTGAGTGTTTACTGGCCGGATGCCTTTCCTGTTGCCAACGCAGAGTTTTATTCAGCAGATATATTCTCATCGTGCCCAGAGAGAGAAATATCTGCCTCTACCTAGGATCGAACTCACAGCCTCTTGATTGTGAGGCGAGAGCTCTATCTCTAGGCCACTGTACCACTCTAAGATGTGAAACTATCCTTCAAAAAAAAGGAGCCGAGTTCTAGAATCCCAACCAATTGGGACTATGTTCCTGATTTCTGATGATCTGCATACAAAGAGATGTAATAATTACAGGAATCACATATCCCACATACGTCCCCTTCTCACACGCAAACATATCAAGAAGTTCTAGGCCTGAGTATGAACTGTACTATCAATTGTCTCTTTATTTGCCTTTTAACTTGTTGAGTCTCCAACTGTCGACTCTTAGACACGTCTTGGATTTACAATAATGATCTCCAAATTCATCTCATTTAGTTGGTTCGCTCCCAAATGGGAGCCAATCAACCATTCAAGTCATGAGATGCTTGAGTTCACTTGACAAGCTTGACTCTAAAGATGGTGTAACACAGCACAACTGTTGCCTTCAGAGAACAAACGATAGCCAAAATGGTCATGGTTGTCCCAGAGGTGCTTTTTCAAAAAGCAACTGGTCTTCCTTTGTTTTTGCTTTAAGATATTTCACTTCTCATCCAAGAAGCTTCTTCAGTTCTGACTGAATGGTGGAGGATGGAAGGATTTATATTTCTTGCAGTTAATATCAATCCTTCCATCCGCCGCCATTCGTTCAGAACTGAAGAAGCTTCTTGGATGAGAAGCGAAACGGCTTCAAGGAAAAACAAAGTCCGGTTGCCTTTTGAAAAAGCACCTTTGGACTTTGGTTTTGAACATTTATAAGCTGCCCGGAGTTGCCTCTAGCGGAGATGGGTGGCAAATAAGTCTAATAAATAAATAATTCACTCAATTTTCCCAACCACAATTCACCTAGTCCCATTTCAACCTAGTTGGGCACCTCATGGAAACCTGTCACATCCTGACCAGGTAAAACCCTGGATTATTTACACCCCCAGTTTCAGGTGGCCCCAAGGGCAGATCTTGTTTCTATTCTACAAACCATCCTCCAAGGTCTTCACATTTATAGATGAGGAAGTCCGGCTAGCTCCGAGCTGGGAGTAGGCCACCACGTAGAAGATATAATTGGTGTTGGGCTCCAAGTCTTTCACCGAAAACTCAGTGGTGTCGTTATTCACCGCAAACTGGTATTCCACGTTGTCAGCACCTAGAGAAGGTACACAACGCTGTCAGACAGAAAAAAGAAGAAGAAAAAGAAGAAAGTTTTGTTCTTTCTTTAAACTAGTTGCTTGTGAGATGCTTACAAAAAGGCCCTGCACAAGCCCAGCTGATTGGGAGGAAATGGGGATTTTGCAGTAACCTTCCCCTAGAGTGGGGAGGGAATGGAGATTTTACAGTATCCTTCCCCTGCCACACCCACCAAGACATGCCATGCCCACCAAGACACGCCCACAGAACCGGTAGTAAAAAAAATTGAATCATTGTCCTCCCCATATGGAAATGGATACAAGGACCCACCTTGTTCTGCCCCAGCTACGGACCCCAAAGAACGCAGCACGCACAAAGTCCATACAAACCTTAATTTACTAATTAAAGACTACTAATGAGCTTTCTTAGTAGTTGTTCGAACACAAGTAGAATAAATCAGTCTTTTCTGAACAAGGGCTGTTAATTTAACTTCATTAACAGCCTACAAGAATTCAAAGAATAATAACTCTGTTCCGAGGCACAGTATTTCAGATAACCATAATCTTACTATGGTTGGCAGAATGCCCAGAAGCAATTTGCAGGAAAACTGATAAGAGAGAAACAAGAGCCAAATCAAACGTTTTCTGTAATCAAGACGCAAAGAAATTTGAACGAAGTTGTTTCCTGCATATTGCATCAGTTGTTGTCCTTCCTTAAATGGGCTAGGGGAGTGGCCAATTAGTCCCAAGCCTTACTCTCAAGGAGACCTCCTCCTGAGGTCCTGCCTTTTCGCAGCTCTGCGCGCTCGTGCATTGAGAAAGGCTCCTCCTCTTCTTCCTCTTCACTTATAGGAGTTCCTGGAGGTTTTGAAGGCCCTGGCTGAATCCCTGCCTCTGGCACCACATCTTCTCCAGCCTCCTCATTGTCCGACTCGAGTGCCAACTGCACAGGCTGCTGGTGCAGCACCACACCAGCCTCCTCGCTGTCGGAATCAGCTACTAACTGCACAGGCCGCTGATGGGCCACAACACACCTTGAAGAAAACTGCTTTGCTTTCCATGTTTTATCACCCTCCACAAATCCTTCAAAAGGTCCATAACTTCTCAGCTCTGTCCCTTACAAGCTGCTCCTTCTTTGATTAAAGTTACTCTCCACTTTGGATGAATAAGTGCATTAAAAGCTGTTCACCTGCCAACACACCCAATCAATCCATTCAATTAACAATCAACTAAGTGCTTGAAGTCCTGGACCTTCTCCTGTGTTTAAACATTTATGGTTTCCAACCCGCATTAATGACTTGGAAGATTGCATTTCTAAAGCATCCTCCCTAGTGAAGAGGCTTAGGAAACATTGTGGAGCTCATACATACTTATTGAAACGTCATCATTCAGAAAGAGGGGAGATAAGGGGGACTTGAGAATAACCCCAAAGGTGGATCAGCCTGAGCCAAAATATGGTCCAATGTTCTTTTTTCCCAGTTGCCAACCAGATACAGAAAGTCCACAAGGAGGCCAGCTGATCTGAGCAGCTCATTCTGATAACATACTAACAGAATAATGAGAGTTGGAAGGGACCTTGGAGGTCTTCTAGTCCAACCCCCTGCTCAAAACAGTTTGCTTATATTGAGTTTTTAATTGTAAACCTCCACACTCCATGTCTCACTCCAATCTGGGGCCTGATAACTCTTTTACATAATAGTTATCATCATATAGAATATGGAATAACAGAATTGGAAGGGACCTTGGAGGTCTTCTAGTCCAACCCTCTGCTCAAGCAGGAGACTCTACACCATTCCAAACAAATGGTTTTCCAATCTCTTCTTGAAAGCCTCCAGTGATGGAGCACCCACAACTTCTGGAGGCAAGCCAGTGGAGGAACATTAATTGATTGTTCTCATTGTCAGGAAACTTCTCCTTCGTTCTAGGTTGGCTCTCTCCTTGATAAGTTTCCATTCATTCCTTCTTGTCCTACAAAGTTATTATACAAAGCTAATCATCATCATTGTTTAACAACCCCATAATCCCTTGCGGGGTGGAGTCTGGGCAACTGAATGGAGCTAGCAGAGTGTTTTACTGACCGGATGCCCTTCCTGTCTCCAGTGCGGAGTTTTGATATATTCTTATTGTGCCCAGAGAGAGAAATATCTGCCTCTACCTAGGATCGAACTCATGAGCCTCCTGATGGTGAGGCGAGAGCTCCACCTGTAGGCCAACATGCCACTCCTATTATACAAATCTAATGCTCCCCTATTTTCTTGCATTAGGATTAGCCCAAAGAGCATATCTTTAGGATACCAGAAACGCACCGAAGGCTTTTTGGTAATGAAGAGAGAATCCAATAATCTGCTCACTGTTGAACTCCGGCCGTTCCCAGGATACCAAGACAGTGGTGCTGGAGAGAGAACTTGCCGATACCCTCTTCGGAGCGCTGGGCAGGCCTTCCCGCACGATCACCTCTAGCCTGGCGGTAGCACAGGCCATGCCAAGGTGATTTTCAGCCACACACTGGTAATAGCCGGCGTCATCCAAGCCGATCTGGTTGATCACGAGGGTACCACTGCCCTGGATTTTAACCCGCCCTTTAGACAGTAGCAGCTTTCCGTTCCTCGTCCAGTGTACGGTGGGCAACGGCTCTCCTTCTGCTTTGCAGACAAACCTGGCGGTGCTGGCCCGAGTGCGAGAAATGGTTTCAGGTGCCTGGGAGATTGTAGGAGGAGCTAAGAGATTGAAAAAAACAAACGAACACCAAATGAGCATGCCGATTGAGGAGGGAACTTTCAAGAACAAAAAGAGATGCGTGAAGACATATGTGAAGGTGGATGAAACAAGGATAATTGGCAAGAAGGGTAGACGGACACACTGCCTAAGTTCACACAACCCACTTCTCAGTTAAGTGAATCACCTCCTTTTCCAGAGACACCGACTATTCACTATCAACTATGCGTGAAATCCAGCAGGTTCTGACAGGTTCTGGAGAACCGGTAGCAGAAATTTTGAGTAGTTCGGAGAACCGGCAAATACCACCTCTGGCTGGCCCCAGAGTGGGGTGGGAATGGAGATTTTGCAATATCCTTCCCCCAGGAGTGGGGTGGGAATGGGGATTTTGCGGTATCCTTTCCCTGGAGTGGGGTGGGAATGGAGATTTTGCAGTATCCTTCCCCTGCCATGCCCACCAAGCCACACCATGCCCACAGAACCGGTAGTAAAAATATTTGGATTTCACCACTGCTATCAACCATAAAGCAACTCGAGAAGCGAATTCACACAAGCTTGGCCACCTAAAAAAAGGAAACTAAAATGAAAGCTGGAAGAGAATTTGAAAATACCATTTTTGGGTGAACTCATAGCAACTGGACCAACTGGACCAACCAAGTTGGTTAATCTGAGACATTTTGTTACTCATCCAAGTAACTTCACCAGTCAAAAAAAAAAAAAAAAAAAGGCAGAGAGACTAAAAGGAGACTAGTATAGATCTATTTCAAAGCTACGTAGCTCTCTTCAGGTAACCTTACCTTTCTGGGATTCAAACCCAGGCTGCTTGCATATTAGGTAGATGTATTAACCTCTAAGCCACTGGTTCTCCTGGCTTTGTCAGCTATACCAGGGGAAATATTAAGGGTTTTTTTTTCTATCAGGGCAACGTGGTCTACTCAAATATGGGACAGAGCATACTGCTTCCACTTTCCCATATTTGGGTAGATCAGGTTGCCCTGATTAAAAAAACACTTAATCTCTTCCCTGGTATAGCTGACAAAGCTAGGAGAGCCCGTGGCTTAGAGGTTAATACATCTACCTAATATGAAAACATCCCAGGTTTGAATTCCAGAAAGGGTGTGGCTAGCTGATGAGAGCTAAATAGCTTGAAATAGATCTATACCAGTCTCCCTTTATTTCTTTGTTGGTAAATATAAATCTCTTTTTCAAAACTGAGAGACTATCATCCCTACAAGGTACACCAGACCCAAACATCAAAGTCACTGGTACGGGTAGACCTTGATTTACAAGTTCATTTAGTGACCTTTCAAAGTTGCAACGAGACTGAAAAAAGTGACTTATGGCCATTTCTCACACTTAGAATTGTTGCAGCATCCCCCACAGCCATGTAATCAAAATTTGGGTGCTTGGCAACTGGTTCAGATTTACAACGGTTGCAGATTTAGAAAGAATCTTAATTCAGGGACTGCCTATATTCTCACAGAGATAGGAAGGTTTTTCATTTTTTCCCCATTTTCTCTTTCTCTAATGCAGGGGTGTCAAATGCGTTTTTGCCCTCCCCAGGCTCCAGAGTCTTTCTTCGAGCCTCCAAGAGGGCAAAAATGACCTCCCCAGGCTCCGGTGGCTGTCTGGAGGCCGGAAATGGGCTCGAACTTCTGGTAGGCCCATTTTTCACCCTCCTTGATCTTCCGTGTGCACCCTGTACTTACCTGCATCCAAAATGGGTCGCGTGGGGACTCCTGGGAGGGGTGGGGTGGGGTTGGTGGGGCCAGCCAGGAGTGGGACTTAGGGGTTCTCTGAACTGCATAGAATCTTAGCTAGAGATTCTCCCGAACCCCTGCGAACCCCAAGCAGCCCACCCCTGCATCTATGTAGCTGAAGATCTAAACCAGCCATTGTACTTATTAAACCATGGCTTACGATTTAACACACTAAATGAATCAAGCACTCTTCATAAAATTCTAGTTAAAATTAGAGCTTAAAATCCCTAAAGCCAAATTCTTGACTGTCGTAGCAAGTGTTGATAAGACAGCCGGATCTTTCCTCTGGCAGAAGAAGGAAGTGACAATCTAAGGAGGCAATCACTTCTCTCCCATCCTTCCTGGAAGATCTGGAGTGAGCGAAAGAAGAAATCTGTTCTGCAGGACTGTTTGCAACCAGCCTATCCTCCTCCTGAAGGACCACAAAATAAAAACCAAGGCAACCTAGCGGCTGCACAGAAACCTTGTCTTCTGTGTTCTCACCAAGGACTCGGAGCTCAGCTGCGGCTGTTACAAACTGCCTGGTTTGGGGTTTGTTGGCCCGGCATACGTAGACGCCTGCATGATGAAGCTGAACGGAAAGGATCACGAGGTTGGTCCGTCCTAACACAATCACATCCGTTGAAATCGGATTCCCATCTTTAAAGAAAAAGCAAAGCATCACATTTTTACTTGGAGTACCAAGTATAGGAGAAAAACATGCAGAGCTGAAGGGGTGGCGGAATTAAGCGCGTCATCAGTTTAGAGTCGTTGCGTTCCCACAAGTGCACCAAGCCCAATCCCTTCTTGAATTCCATTGACACTTACCGTATTTTTCAGAGTATAAGACGCACCGGACTATGAGACACAACTACCTTTTTTGGTGAGGAAAAGAAGAAAAAGAAATCTGTCTCTGCCTCCCACCGACCAGTTCGTTCTCACAGGGAGGGACTACTCAGGGTACCGTCAGTCAAATTATGCTGACTGGCGACTCCCAGGGGGAGGGCCTTCTCTGTGGGGGCTCCAACCCTTTGGAATGAACTGCCCCCGGAGATACGGAATATTCCTGATCTCCGTGCTTTCCGCCGTGCCCTCAAGACCCTGATGTTCCAACAGGCGGGGCTAAACATATGAACATGTGAATGATTTTTTAAATGTGATCTAATTCTGGGTTTTATTTAATTGACCAAACTAAGTAATAATTTTAATTAGCAATTTTATGATGTTCGTGTGTCTATATTTTTCTTGACTGTACACCGCCTTGAGTCCTACAGGAGAAAGGCGGTATAGAAATATAATAAATAAATAAATAAATAAATAAATAAATAAATAAATAAATAAATAATTTTTGCAATTTTGCAAGCTAACAGCAATGTTAGTGATGGCTAACCTTTTTGCCATCGCGTGCCAGGAGTGGGGGGGGGTCACGCGCATGTGTGCCCACACGCATAATTCTATGTGCCCTACGCATGCGCGTGCTTCCCCACGCTGCCCCCCCGCTCCTGGCACGCGATGGCACGGTGGGCCCAGTAGGCCTGTTTTTCTCTCTCCTCAGGCTCCAGAGCCTTTCTAGGAGTTTGGGGAGGGCAAAAACAGCCTGTTTCCCTACTTTCAGTGGGCCCAGAAGGCCAGAAAATCAGGTGGCCGGGAGCTGAGCTTGTGTGCCCACCGATATAGCTCCGCGTACCACAGGTCGTACACGTGCCATAGGTTCACCATCACGGCCCTATGTTATTCTTCTTATTATTACTGTCATCTGTGCCAGCCTGTTTTGGTACCTTTATTCACTACCTATGCCTGTTCTATTCAGCAAAAATATAATTTTAATTTTCATTGTTGCAGCCATTGGTCAGATAGTTCACCAATCGGCCATTTTCGGCTTGGTGTACTGAGTGCTGTTAGATCTGGGCCATAATATGCCACTTTTACAGAAAAAATGGCCGATTTCTATAAAACAGAGACTCTTCTGTCTCTGTTTCTGTGCTCAATCCCTGAAAGTGGTATCTGTGATCTGTATCCCAGCTCTTAATCCTAAACATAACCGAGGTGGTATTTCTGCAGAGTGCTAACACATGTGTCAGATTTCCCACCAGATCTGTACAAAGATTCAGCCTTCACCCCCTGACCCTTTGAAGCTGGGGAATCATCCGAGAGCAGCCTTGACGAATGTAGATCAAAAGGCATCCAGAAACTGGAATTCTGTATCTTTTACAGATCAAATGAGGCAAACCAATCTCCTGCTTTGTCTGTTTTTTAACTTTAACTGACAAGCTCGACTTAGTAGCTCCACTCCTGTTACTACAAAGGTAGTATATCTCTATATTCAACTGCAGATTATAATGTCCCAAAGGTGCTTTTTCAAGAGGCAACTGGACTTTCTGCTTTTTCTTTGAAGATGTTTTGCTTCTCATCCAAGAAGCTTCTTCAACCCTGATTGGATAGTAAGGAAAGGAAGGATTTATATTCCTTGCAGACAGCTGGTCATTTGCGTCCTTTTTGAGGGTTGTTGTAATTTAGATAAAAGAAATAATGTGAATAAAAAAGGAATCATACAGAGTCAGATATATGGGCTCTGGGGGACCCTCTCTATTCACATTATTATAAGGGGAAGACGTGCTTAGATACATGAACTCTGAGATAACCTCTCTATTCACCTTATTATAAGAGAGGAAAGTGCTTGTTGGAAATTACATTAACAAACAGTTAAACCCCATTAAGTGGTAATATATCTTCTGAGACCTAGATGTCACGAAAGGACCGCCATATGGAAAACATCTGAGTGACTTCACTGTGAATGACACAAAGACCTATATGTTACAAAGAGTTACTTAATCCAATAAACTTACCTAAGGACAGCAGTAACTCTCCCATTAGCAACTTTGAGCACTTAAGGAAAAGTTGTGTGGCTAAGATAATTTTATAAACTAAAATTGATGCTTTAAGTAATTAGATGAACACATTATCCAATGTATGTAACCATATAGGGAAAATCGGATGTATGATCTCATGTTAACCATATATGGAAAATATATGATCTCACTGAATCCTTTGTCTTAGAAATGTATAAAACCGTTGTATCAGAGTTCTCTCCTTGTTCAAAGCTCCAAGTACAAACTGCCTCTGAACCTTGCACAATAAAACTGTCTCTGGCTAACCCAGGAATGTTGCTTGGTCCTCATCATTCCACAACAGTTGAAGCACGTGGAGGTTTATCTGTGTCCTCAGGGTCACCTGAGTGATGCTAATGTTTCCTGTAGCCTGCAATTTTTTCTGGCAATCTGTTCATACTCCCACCCCATTCAAAGGGAGTTCATTCCAAATTGTATAGCTAAAAGTCTGTAGCGATTCTTAGTCATCCAGGTCATGGTTGTCCCAAAGGTGCTTTTTCAGGAGGCAACTCGACTTTCTTGGGTTTTTTAGAACAGACATTGCATTTAGAATGCAATGTCTATTTAAAACAACAACAACAACCAGATTCTAAGACCAAAAGATCTTGGAATGGGCATCAGAAGGGGAATTAACTTCGTTTACCTTCCCGTATCCAAGAGATGAAAGGTGTGGGATTTGCCGATGCGACACACTCCATCACAACAGTCTCTCCAACTACCACGGTGGCATTCTCCGGTGCTGTGACAATGACTACATCACCCATCGTTGGTTGTTGGGGACCTAGGGCAACAAAATTCAGATTTACGTTTTCTCCCTCCATTCCCCAGACACATATTTCAATCAGAAGAAATTCACCAAAAGCAAAAAAAAAAAAAAGTTTTCTGAGTCCAGTGTTCAAGCTTTGCATGAGAATGAATTTCTTAGATAGTTAGACAGACTAACACTCTTATAAAATCTACACCATCTACAAATGCTTCCTTCCATTGTGAAAGTTTTCTGGTTTTCAACTTTGGAAACAAAGGAAAGAGAGGAAGGGGAAAGAAAGAAAGGAGGGAGGAAGAGGAGGTTAGGGGTAAATGAAAAGGATGGAAGGGCACAGATGGGAGAAAGGAAAGAAGTTAGTTGAAAGAGTGGGAGAAAATAAAAAGGAGGGATGATCTCAAATCTTTTGAAATTACTAAAGGTAAAGGTAAAGGTTCCCCTCGCACATACGTGCTAGTTGTTCCTGACTCTAGGGGGCAGTGCTCATCTCTGTTTCAAAGCCAAAGAGCCAGCGCTATCCGAAGAAGACGTCTCCGTGGTCATGTGGCCGGCATGACTCAATGCCAAAAGCGCACAGAACGCTGTTACCTTCCCACCAAAGGTGGTCCCTATTTTTCTACTTACATTTTTTACGTGCTTTCAAACTGCTAGGTTGGCAGAAGCTGGGACAAGTAACGGGAGTTCAGCCCGTTACGCGGCAATAGGGATTCGAACTGCTGAACTGTCGACCTTTTGCTCGACAAGTTCAGTGTCTTAGCCACTGAGCCACTGCGTCCCTCTTGAAATTACTACATTTCCCCAAATTTTCACAGTTGAAATTTCAAAGAGTTGGGTACACTTGTAGGAGTTCAGTCATGATGAATTCAACTTGGACTCTGGTTACTACAAAAACCCTTGTTCTTAGATGCTGGGTATTCCATCCTTGGACTTCTTTACTCAAAACATTTTTCTCCAATGTCTGAACTTGAAGAAAAAAAACTGTGATTACTTTGAGGAGATGCTCTTAACACTCAGCTATAATTTCTTTTCTTCTCCTGTTCTCTCCTGTCTGTCAGCACTTCAAGCTGCATTTACTCTAGTGCTGACATAAGAAGGAGAAGTGGAGGCGTCTGGAAAGGGATGTTTGACTTTTCACCTACTTATTTTCCCTGGAGATAATATCCCCTAGGAGATGGGATGGGAGGGGGGAAATTCCTTTGAGCTGGAGCGGTAGATAAGGGGTAGAATAACTTGGAAGATGGCCAATGAGTGCAGGGGAGTGGGGAACAGAAAGGGAGGGTTTTGGGTCTGGAAGTCAGTGTTGGCTTCAATGAGTCGGAGGTAGAATGTCGTGCTTAATAAATGGGAATTTTTCTTCAAAGACTTTGTTTGAAATGCAATTTATTTGAGACGACCTCGAAACCTGACACTGTCCTCAATTCATTCGCCTTGGGAATTTTTAGCCTAAACCTCTCAAGGCCAGGACAATCTACCATATTAAAGTCACAGAAAAACTTGTGTTAAAAAAACACAACAGGATTCGTTTCTCTCCCTTTTTACCAACTAAGCCATTTTTTACCCAACTCACTTGATTTAAACTTGCATTAATAACTTTAATGCTAGCATTTATGTTTTTATTTTTTGAGGCAAAGAAAGTACAAGTCTTAGGAAGCGGACAAAAACAATCCCTTGTTTTTAAAAGAGGAAAAACTAAACAAATACTTGGCTGGATTCCTTCCTCCCATTCAGTCCAAATCCACAACTGTTTGGGGAGGAAACAAATGCACATTTAATTCTCAGCCCCCCCCTCAGTAATTAAATTTTCTCCCCACCAACCAATTTTCCACCGCTTAAGTTCCTAATTAAATAGGTTCGTGCTTGCAAAATCCTTTGGAGATAAAATAGGAGGGTTCCTAATACAAATCAATGTTTAATTTCTCTCGCCATAGTAGGCTGTCCTCAGGCCCCTGTCATCCTTTTTGGGGTTTTCACAGGGAGTCAAAAAACTCAAAATGTGATGGAAACCCAGCCTGTACTGCCTCTCTTGAATGGCTGTCCAAATCAGTAGCATTTGCAAAACATTTCACGTCAAGGGCTAACTGCCTTCTCGCTTTCTGAGCAACCAGGAAAGAAGGAAAAAATAAATCACAGATGGATCTTTTTTTCCCCTTCTCTTCTCCTGAACAGCTGCTCAAAGCCCGAATCCATCCATCCCCAGGGAGGTTGTGGGTTGCTGGAGAGGGGGGTGGGTGGGGGCTTCAACACAATGTCAAGCTTCTGTTCAGGAAAAAGGATGAGAAAGTTCACGCCAAGCCTACTTGTTCTATCTGTTTTCTCTCTTCCTCTTGAGATGCTGAGAGCAAGAACCCAAGGGAGATCCAGCACTCTGTCATCAACTTTGACCCCACTAGGGTTGCTGAGAGCCAACATGAATAGTATGCTGGCACTTAACTGCATACATTGCCTGCAATTACTGCGAGTTCAAATCTCACCAGGCTCAAGGTTGACTCAGCCTTCCATCCTTCCGAGGTAGGTAAAATGAGGATCCGGATTGTGGGGGCAATAAGCTGACTTTGTATAAAAAAGAACACCGCTTAGGGGAGGCCAAAAAAGCCCTACTAAGCAGCTATATACAAAAGTATGAAGGCTATTGCTTAATGCATTGTAAGCCGACCTGAGTCTCCGGAGAAGGGCGGCATATAAATCGAACCAACCAATCAATCAATCAATCAATCAATCAATCAATCAATAAACAAATAAATAAATAAGTGCCGCACACAAAGCTGTGATGCACTGCAGGGCATGGAATCTCAAACTAGGGCTGGGGAAACTGGACGTGGTCCTTCCATGTAGGGTTAGGTTAAAGAGATAATACCTTCTTCTTTTGTATCAGGAGGAGTCTGGAAGCATCTTTTCTGACTCCCAGCTTTTATTTCTGAATTAAATTTATAGCACTAGCACTACAGCATTTAAGATTCACGTACCACTCTGTAGTGTTTTACAGCACTTCTGAGCGCTTTACAAAATGTCAGCATTTTGCCTCCCGACAATCTGGGTCTTCATTTTACCGATCTCAGAAGGATGGAAGGCTGAGTCAACCTTGAGCCGGTCAGGATCGAACTGCTGACAGTGGGCAGAGTTTGACTATTAGAGTGCAGTATTGCAGTCAAACTCTGCCCACTGTCAGCAGTTCGATCCTGACCGGCTCAAGGTTGATCCGTAAAATGAGGACCCATATTGGGGCAGGAGCAGTGAGCTGAGGCTTCCCTCCCTCCCAGACGGAGGCTTGGGGCCGTGTAAGAAGCCCGCTTAGGCGGGGAGGGAGGGAAGCGTGCCCCCTCGCCCTGGCGATTCTCACACTGCTCCTTCCCTGGTGGCGGCAGGAGCAGAGGGCTGAGGCTTCCCTCCCTACAGGGGCATGCAGATTGGTGCAGGAGGCTTTCCAGGTCCAAAATGGGGTGTGGGGTGTGTGTGTGCACATTTTGGGGGTTCAGGCATGCGCACGTGCTTTGGGCACTTGGCACTAAAAAGGTTAACCATCGCTGTACAAGGAAATCGGTGGAGACAATATCATAGATGTGCAGCTTTTCCTCAGCAGGGACAGGGGTTCCTTGAGTGAGTGCGTGGCTGTTGGAGATGACGCTCGGAGTTTGCTGCTGGCAGAATTTCATTTCAACTGACAGATCTAATTGCTTGCTGTGGTCATGCCCCACAGAAACATGTTTTCTGCGTCAAATATTTGTACAAGATCAGAGTGTCGGAAAAGAACTAGCAGCATGCAAAGCTGCCTTCTTTTCTTCTCCAGGAGAAAGCACAAGGGTAGGAAGAAAGTAGAGGCAAGGGTGGGATTCAGCTGGTTGAGACCGGTTTTGACGAACCGGATATTAATTTTAATCTGATTTGCTGAACAGGTTGTTCCAAAGACTGGCTGACCCCGCCCACCCCTCCCTGCCCCTCCCAGGAGTCTCCATGCAGCCCGTTTTGGATGCGAGGTAAGTGCAAGGCCCGTGCGGAGGCTCTGGGAGGGTGAAAAATGGGCCTACTTGAAGTCCAGAAACGGGCACGTTTCCAGCCTCCAGAGGGCCTCCAGAGGGCCTCCGGAGCCCAGGGGAGGCCATTTTCATCCTCCTGGAGGCTCAAGGAAAGTCTCCGGACCCTCGGCAGGGCAAAAACGCCCTCACCCCCGCCATGGTACAGGAGGCCGAGTAAGCTGTGCCCGCATTGGCCACGCCTACCCAGCAACTGCCCAGTAAACCGGTTGTTAAATTTTTCAATCCACCACTGAATAGAGATAGGCATGTCGAGGGTTAGTACCACTTTATAATGCTTATAGTGTCTCTATAAGACCACACTTGGAATATTGCATCCAGCTTTGGTTGCCACAATATAAAGAAGATGTTGAGACTCTATAATAAGAGTGCAGAGAAGAGCAATAAAGATGATTAGGGGACTAGAGGTTAAAACCCATGAGGAACGGTTGTAGAAACTGGATATGTCTAGTTTAATGAAAGGAAGGAATGGGGGTGACATGATAGCAGTGTTCCACTATCTCAGGGGCTGCCACAAAGAAGAGGGAGTTAAGCTATTCTCCAAAGCATCTGAGGGCAGGACAGGAAGCAACGGATGGAAACAAATCAAGGAGAGAAGCAACTTGGAAATAAGCAGAAATTTCCTGACAGTGAGAACAATTAAAGGCAAGTCAGTGGAACGACTTGCCTTGAGAAGTTGTGGGTGCTCCAACACTGGAGGTTTTTAAGGAGAGACTGGAGAGCCACTTTTCTGAAATGGTTTAGGTCCCCTGCTTGAGCTGGAAGACCTCCGGGGTCCCTTCCAACTCTGTTATTCAGGTATCTTCTGGTGGCATGTCATGGGAGTTCTGACAGAATGACCACCATGGAGTCATTTGATCACATTAACAGATTAACATAGTTGGGAGGGACTTTGTAGGTCATCTAGTCCAACCCCCTGTCCAAGCAGGAGACCCTGCCCCATTTCTGACAGATGGCAGTCCAGTCTCTTCTTGAAAGCTTTCAGTGATG